ATTTCAAACAAATCCAGAAAATAGTATCCTACTAGTTCCATTTGATAATTGAAGAAACTGAGGCCAAGAAATAGGCCAAGGTAACTAAAGTAACAAATACAAGAAATGGAAATGTGACCTGACTAGTCTAACTTCAAAGCATGTAATTTATCCACTAAGCTATCCTGGCCTGCCCCTAGCATTTGATGATCTCTAAAGGATCGTTTTTTCCCTAGCATTGTATGATTTGAATGTGTTTTAATGTACCTATGATAAAGCACTCAACTAGGTCTAATAGTCTCAAATTATAGAGACCAAAATAAAGAAGCTCAGCAAAAACTCTTTACATGACCTGAAAGTTAGAATTCAGATTCCCTTGGGTAATCAGAATTGGTCTTCCCCATATTGATCCCTTCAAGAAGAGGCAGTGTTTCTGTCCTCTGCTAGGAAATCACTGAATATTTTTCCCTCAGATGAAGACAGATGGCACAGACAATAATAAAAGATTCTAGCAAGAATTAAAAGTATATATTTGCAATGTAGTCGACATGATCTTAAGACACAACTGAAATAAATACAAACTGGACAAAAAAGATCCTCTCTTTTAAAATGACCAAATAATTTAGTGTGAATGAAGTAAACTGCTTCTAAACTATTGATAACAGCCTTTAAAAAAGAGTATTGGTGATTAACTGGGTATATTAAAGTTAAAAAAAATTCTTAAATACAAGACCTACATTTTTTACATAATACGTAGTGATTCCAGTCAAGTCAAAATATTCTCATTTGTTCTTTTAAATAATCATGAGTGGGGCCTCCCTGGTGGTGCAAGGGGTTAAGGGTCAGCACTATGATGCTATCTGCAGCTACTGTAGCACGAGTTTGATCCCCGGCCAGGGAGGTGACCCACATGGCACAGCAGACCTCTCCTGACTTGCTCGCTGCTCCCCTCAGTGGTGTATTTCAGTACATCTTCCTGTTCTGTTCCCCACTCTGTCTCTGGTGAATCCTCTCACCAACCCCCCAAACCTCTGGCCTACGGCCCAGCTCTTGTATGCAGAAATAAATTTTTTGAATAAATAAATAAATAAATAATCATGAGAGTTCTTTTCTTTATAAAGCAGAACTAATTGTATAAAGGATTGTTTCTCTTTCAGCTAATTCTATACTGAAAATAATATAAAAGTCATAAATACTCCTTATTCTTCATTAGCGGTATAAAGTACACCTCAGAAAGGAGCATGCTGACATTTTCTGAAAGATGAGAAGCTTCAGGAAAAGAGCAATAAATTGGTTGAAAATATATGGTAACAAAGCACTTCTCTTTGAGACCACAAGAATGGAAAAAAGAATTTATTAGTTCTAGAAATCCAAGATGACTTAGTATAATTATGGTTACATGCAGAATTTGATGGCTGGAAATGAATTCTAGTTAGGTTCACCCTACAGTCCTCATAGCCAATCTGCAGACACAGAGTAGTCATATCCCTAGAAACCAGGACAGATCTCCAGTTGGCATGAGTTCAATGAACCAGATAAATAATTGTATCACCAATATCTGCCCGTAGCCCATTTTCAGTGAGATGAATTTTCTTGTTCATGAGGTCCACGTGGAAAACAGCATGCTCGGTAATGGGGGTCTTCTCGGTGTGCTCTTTTCCCAGGACAGGAACTCGCCGGGGTCCCAACAGGGGATCATCAAATCTCATCAGTTTCACTTTGGAAAGATCTACAGCAAAAGGATTACAAGATGAGCATTTAATTAATCACTGACTTAAACCCCTGGCCAACTCTAATAATTCATGTTGTAAACATCGGTTGTCACATTTTCATCAAATTATTAATAAATGAGACACTCTCAGAAAGCAAGGTTAACTACAACAAATCTTTATCTTCTGTCAAACTGAGAGATTCCATGTGATATATCTCCTGAAGTTATACACCAAGAAGAATGACTGAATACATTGTTTAGCATTATCCTATATGGTCTTTCAAATCACTTTTTATATGCTTCAATTAACCATCTTTCAGGATATCGAAAAATCTAAAATTTATTTCCTTCTTGTCTTGCTTCCTGGAATACATTAAGACTGCATTCATTAGTTATAGTTTTGTTTTTTGTGGGTTTTTTTTTCCTTGTAAGATACTTCGGAGAATTACTCTAAGAGAAAGAGCATTACCAGTTTCTTGTTTTGCTCAAAGGATGAAAGTGTTTGCACTAACAAGGTGATGAGAGACAGGAAAGAAGGGGAAGTACAGAGGGAAAGGGCAAAGCTTTTAGAATTTTGAGCTTCTGGAGGAGCGCCAACCCTCGCCTGCTTAAGATTGTCCTGATTGCTCTTGTGAAAGCTGATAAGATGGCTCCTGGCGAAGAAAACACTTGTCCCTTGAGCAAATTTACAACCCAACAATCCTGCCAACAACTGAGCCCAAAAGAAATTTATTTATTTCAGCAATTCTGAGACTTCCCAACATCAAATGATTTTATTTTATATGGTAGAAAAACACCATAAATGACTACAAATGCTCATTCTGGCTTTACTTCTCATTCTAAGTGCAGCACGGCTGGTTATGCTTAACCTGACCCACAGAAACAGAAGATGTTTTCTGAATTACTCCCCACCTCTTGCTAAAGTAGATCACTGGGTGGTCTGTGAGCTACATTCCCTCATGTTGCCTGTAGAGTACGAAGCTTAGCATGAGAGGGATAAGAGATAAAAGGAGACATTAATGCAGCTAGCGGCTATGCCAGGAGTACAAGTTATTAAGGCATTCTACTCTCTGTGGGAAACAAAGACCAAAGGCCTGCAAGTTTAGAGTAGGGATCTTGGGGCTTACAGAGTAATTACCTGCAACTACCATGAAGGCAAACCCTGCCTGAGAGTTCTTGGAGAGTCTCTGCAGAGACCATACAATCTATTCTCAGACAAGAGCTCAGCCCTGAAAATTAAAAAGGGAAAGGCGCGGACACAGACTTCGTGACAGTCAAGTACTTATTTGGGGGGAAGAATACAATTCATTTTAACAACTGTACTTTAACAAGCACACAGGCGATACCAAATATTCTGCTACGGAAGCAGTGCCAAGTCTCGCCACAAGATTTTATGCACAAGGCCTTTTACTGTAGATCTGTTTCTCTCTCTCTCACATCCCTCATCATTCCAAGCAACTCTGACTCAAACTATTTCAAAGAAGCCTTTAACATTCCACCAGGCTTCTAAGTGACAAAACACATTTGCTTTGTTTCACCCTGTTGTTCATTACTGCCAATAAATTCTTGGAGCTTTCTTAGGGGGTGTACTATCTTTTCTTATCCCAGACCTCTCATCATCGCAAATGTTGAAATTTAAGTCTGCAGCTACACAAGAATTAAGGCATTGAGAGAAAAGGAGAGAGGGATAGAAAGTCCCTAAGGATTAATAGTGTGAAATGGAGCCTTTCACCTCCAAGTTATTAGTTCATACGTGGCACAGGCCATGAGTGATTTAAAGTCATTATCATCAAATAGTTGCTCGGTGGCCTTTGTGAAGTAAAATGATGGTTTTAGTCCAGTTCCTCCTGGACCTATATCATAATCACCCTCAATACAATTGGCACTAATTGGATGACTTGCCAGCTATTTCAGAGACAGACTGAGAAATGTATTCCTGAATTTTACTCCTTTCCCATCTCAAATACTCTGCCCCCTTAGACATCAATGCATCCAGAGGGCTTCTGGAAGTCTCAAGGTTAGAGCTCTTCTGAAGATAGTTGGAGGAATATCAATTTCAAAGTGTCCCCTAACATTTCTATTTTCTAAAACCCACAGCAACTACTAACATCAAACTTAAAGCACTGTAGGATAATATTATTCACAGCTAGTGTGACAAAGGATGTAAGAATAATACCAGAGGCTCAGTGAGAAAAGACTTACAAAACATGTTTAGTACAATTTTCAAGAAACTAGTCAGTGCTGTATCTGAGTATATTTAAAAGGGAGGCAGGTTTAACATTATATAACACATTTCAATATATCATCTCATGCGTCACAACCTTATAAAAATCCCATCCAGTGGATCCACACAAATATCTACTTCTTTTAAAAGCTACCATATTGTTCTTCAAGACTGAGTTCTTCCTGTAACAAAATCTCCCTATGCCTGAAAATATGCAATATAAAACAGCCTAACAAAAGACCACAAAATGACCTCCTAGATATTCATATTTTGAAACTTCCAAGTATTGCCTTTTGTGGCCTACAAATTTTGTTTCTTTCTTTTCCTACAAATTTTAAGGCTGGCAATATTACTGTATAGTAATACAGTGGTTTCCTGGGGGAACATGATAAAAGTCTGTGATGACATGGATGACCCTGGAGACATTTTGCTAAGTGAAGTAAGTCAAACAATAAAGGACAAATAATTGTATGGTACCATTTATACAAGGCACAAAAGTCAAATACATAAAGGCAGAGTGCAAAACAGTGGTTACCAGGGTTAGAGGATTAGAGGGGATGGAGGGAGGTAAAACAAGGGACTATTGTTTAAGGGGTATATACGGTTTCCACTTGGGATAATGAAAAAGTTCCAGAGACAAGTGGTATGATGGGTGCACAACAGTATGACTGCACTTAACGCCACTGAATTGTATACTGAAAAATGACCAAACAAGCCAATTTCATGTCACGCATATTTTAGCACAATTTTTAAAAATATCTACAAACACAATAAAATCCTTAGCCCTAACACACTGCTAGTGGGCGCAAAGAAAGATAGTGCTGCCCTCCTGCTAGTGCAACCCTCCCCCACCCTCACAGGTATAATTTCCAGGCCTCATGCAAACAGTATTTTCTTTCTTTTCTTTTAAGTTTCTACTTTTTTAAAATATATTTTTTACATCATTGTTCATTTTTAAACAATGTTTGCTTTTCTCCCCCACACCTCAGGTGTAGTCCCCATAGAATTTCCTTCACCAATGCACCTGTGCACCATCACCTCAGTCCCCTGTGCTCCTCCCTCCCTTCCTCTGATCCCTCTCCCTCCTCCTCCCCTGCGGGATGTCTCTGATTTATAATTTGTCTGTTTTTGTTTTGTTGCGTTTTGTATTGTTATTGCTTTTTTTCCCTGATGCCTTATTTGGTTCCCCTATATTCCTCCTATAAGTGAAACCATCCGATATTTTTCTTTTTTCTGCTGACTTATTTCATTCACTGAACATGATTCCTTCAGCTCCATCCATGTTGCTGCAAATGGCATGAGTTTATCCTTTTTGACTGCGGAATAATATTTCACAAAAAATATTTTCTTCATAAATCCATCTCTGATTACCAACAACTAGAAATAATCCCACTTTTTTCTGTGCTGTAAATTTTACCTATCCCTCTCTTACTGCACTCAGCAGTTTCTCTCCGATTATGACTATGTACTCAAGTGGCTCAGTTCCCTGCCCCGTCCCCAGATGCAGCCTCCTAAAGAGCACTACTCTGTGGCCTCCCCAAGCTCCCCAGTGCAGACACAGGAGTCTCCACAGTCACACTTATCTCTACACACACTTCACACAGTAATCTCTCAAGGAAGGTCCACAAAAGGTGGACAAATGACTTCAAAAGAACAAAAAACACATGGAAGAATGAATTCCAGGCCTTCCGGTGGCACAGTGGGTTGAGTACAGCGCTGTGAAGTTGTCCACAGCCTCTGCAGTGCAGGTTCGATTCCCGGCCGGCCAGGGAGATACCCAAATGGTGAGGCAGACCTCTCCTGTCTCGCCCCCTACTCTCCTCTCAGCAGTGTTTTCGGTCGTCTGCCTGTTCTGTTCCCCACTCTGTCTCTGGTGAGTCCTCTCACACTCCTGTGTCTCTGGCCTGTATCCCAGTTCTTGTATGCATAAATAAGTCTTTAAAAAAAAAAAAAAAAAAAAAGAATGAATTCCAAAGGGTCACAATTTACTTTGAATATAAATTCTGCAAATTAAGTCACTGGGATTTGTTAATCTTTTCAGAAAATCTTTATGGTGTTGAAATGTGACACAATCAACTCTTGATTGCCATTAAAAAGAGAAGTGAGGGGCCTCCCCGGTATTGCAGCGGTTGAGTGCTGGGTTGCGAAACTGCCCGCAGCCTCTGCAGCGCCGGTTCGAACCCCGGCCACCGGGCGAGGGTCCCACATGGCGCGCAGACCTCTCCTGCCGCCCGCTGCTCCCCTCAGCAGTGTACTTCGTCACTTCGTCAATCTGCCTGCTCTGCTCTCCTCTCTGGCTCTGGTGAATTCTCTCACCCTCCTGCACTTCTGACTGTACCCAGTGCTTGTATAAATAAGTAAATAAATCTTTTTAAAAAAAGAGAGAGAGAAAAGTGAGACATAAAGCAAAATAGGGAATTTAAATGCTAATTTGTCTTCATAATTTGGAAAAAAGTGAGACATACTAGCTTCCTTCACACTCTGCTCAGCTGCAGACCTAGTTGAATTATTAAAAAAAATACTATAAACTATTATACTAAATATAATCACAGGAGATCTAGGCTTAATCTTGATAAGAAATTAAGATTGCAAATTTTGCCTGAAAGTACACTGTTTAGAAAAAAATGAGTTTTGGCGTCAAATAAATCTGAATGTGAATTCCTGTTCCAGGAATTACTATTTGAATGAACTTAGCAAGTTACCTAGTCTCTCTAACCTCCACTACACTATATGGAAAAGGGAAATAATAATACCCTCTTTGCTATAGGGTTATGAAAGAATTAAATGGGCTCATATGAGGGAGACATGCAATAACGTTCACTGTTTCTCTGCCTTCTGCCTTCTCCAGGGACAGGCCCAGTTCAGCAGCATAGTTTGGAATATTATGGATATCTGTTTCTTAATTCCAAATGCCTCTGAGAGAAACTGTTACAATTTAAAGCTAGATGGGATCCCTGATGATCAGGTAAATGCAAATCAAAACCACACTGAGATACCATCTTACAGCAGTAAGAATGGCACATATCAAAAAAACAAGCAACAACAAATGTTGGCGAGGATGCGGTGAAAAGGAACTCTCCTACATTGCTGGGGGGAGTGCAAACTGGTCCAACCATTATGGAAAGCTGTCTGGAGGTTCCTCAGTCTATTGAAAATGGAGCTACCATACGATACGGCAATTCCACTCCTAGGGATCTACCCAAAGGACACAAAAACAGTGATTCAAAAGAGCACCTGTACACCTATGTTTACTGCAGCACTATTTACAATAGGCAAAACCTGGAAACAATCCAAATGCCCAAAAATAGATGACTGGATCAAGAATATGTGGTATATATACAATGGAATATTATTCAGCAATCAAAAAAGATAAACTGATGCCATTCGCAGCAACGTGGATGGAGCTAGCAGGAATTATGCTCAGTGAAATAAGAAGAAAAAGAAAAACATCGGATGGTTTCACTTATAACAGGAATATAGGGGAACCAAATAAGACATCAGTGTAAAAAAATAATAATAACAGTACAAACACAACAAAGCAAAAACAGACAATTATAAACCAGAGACATCCTGCAGTGGAGGAGGAGCACAGGGGACTGAGGTGATGGTGCACGGGTGCCTTGGGGAAGGAAATTCTAAGGGTTTTCAATCTGAGGGGATTGGGGGGAGCAAATATTGTCTTAAAAATGTAAAAAATGATAAAAGTTAAAATTAAAAAAATCTAAAAAAAAAAAAAGCTAGATGGGGCCCTTGGAAAAAATACTGAATCCAACATCCTCATTTTACTAAAAGAAAGATCAGATCTGAGCTTAATGAGATGACAAGTCACCAAGCTCCCTAGTCACAATGTCCCGAAGAGAATACAGGTTTCCTGATTCTGGGTCCAACACTCTTCCACAGCATTACACAGCTGTCTCTAAGCAATCTAGTTATTTTCCCTCTTCCCCTCTGCTTAGAATTCATCGAATCCACAAGTTATTGCCAAATATTTATTTCAGGGAAACCCATTTACCTTTAATTCCTCGGTCCATTTTCATTAAGCGCCTGATTATAGAATCGCGGTTATCACCTTGCCTGATTTCAATTTTGGTTGAAAAATGGCCATTGGATGGCTGAGGATTCACTAGGGAAACTGACACACCAGGCTAGGAAAATAAGGAGAAAATGATTGTTACCAGAAGTCAAATGTGAAAACTATCAAGGAAAGGGGAATCTCTGCTAACTTTTAATGTCCAATGAAATGAAGATTTGATTCATATGTACACGTCAACCTTCATGTTCGGGTCACTTCTACAAAATTTACCTTGCTTTTTCTTTTGAAATACCATTATTATTCTTTTTAAAGATTTATTTGTTTACGCATACAAGAGCTGGGTGTAAGCCAGACATGCAGGAGGTGAGAGGATTCACCAGAGACAGAGCGGGGAACAGAACGGGCAGACTGACCGAAATACACTGCTGAGGGGGATTGACTAAAATACACTGTTGTGGGACAGGAGAGGTCTCCTGCTCCATGTGGGTTAGCCCCCTGGCTGGGGATGGAATTTGTGCTGCAGTGGCTGGCAATAGCTTGATAGCGCTGTCTTTAACCCCTGTGCCACCAGGGAGGCCCAGAAGATTTGATTCTGATATTCCATACTCTAGTCCAAGAGATATTCAGATAGGAAAGAAAACGATCTCATGCTGATAGCCAAATGCTGATGTAAAACTAACTTCACTGCATATATCAAATTGATGATGGATAATAACAATAATTATTTTTCTCTTCTGTAACTACCAGATACGGCATTTCAACTGTGTAGCAGACACTGGACTAAACATTTTATCATCATTAACCCTGTACTCTCAAGGGCAATTCATCATAATCCTTAATCACAGATGAGAAGTTAAGAGACAGAAAGATTAACAAAGTAGCCCAAGGTGACATAGCTAGTAAGGTGACATAGAGAGAGCTAGGATTAAACCCAGTTTTATGCCATACTACCTCCCACATTATATAAACTACTTATTATTTTAAGAAGAAAAATGTCGACTGAGTCTTGTGAAGAGGCCAATATACTTAATGTTGGAATGCTTGAAATGTTTGGAAGTGGTTTGAAATAAACATATTTGTATAGGGAACACCATATCATGTACCTATAGTCTATGGTCCAAATGACCACATTTTAAAAGCTTCTACATCCTGGGCCTCCCCGGTGGCGCAGAGGTTGAGCACTGGGCTGCGAAACGGCCCACAGCCACTGCAGCGTCGGTTCAATCCCTGACCACCAGCGAGGGTCCCACATGGTGCTCATACCTCTCCTGCCGTGCCCGCTGCTCCCCTCAGCAATGTATTTCGTCAGTCTGCCTATTCCCTGCTCTGGCTCTGGTGAATTCTCTCATCCTCCCGCACTTCTGACTGTACCCAGTGCTTGTATAAACAAATAAATCTTTAAAAAAAAAAAAAAAAGTTCTACATCCTGGGCCTCCCTGATGGCGCAAAGGGTTAAGACACAACCTATGAAGCTGGCCGCAGCCACTGCAGCACAAGTTCGATCCCCAGCCAGGGAGCTAACCCACATGGCGCAGCGGAACTCTCCTGTCTCACCCACTGCTCCCCTCAGCAGTGTATTTCAGTCAATCCGCCTGTTCTGTTCCCCACTCTGTCTCTGGTTAATCCTCTCACCCCCCACAACTCTGGCCTGTACCCCAGTTCTTGTATGAGTAAATAAATAAATCTTTAAAAAAAAAGCTTCTACATCCTGACATAATGTGAGTATTAATTATATGCTAAATTTGGGAAAGTTCCATGATCATGATGACCTCATTCTTTCAAAATAGGCCTTTTCTGTTTTCTGGGCTTTCAAGTAAATACAGTAAAAATAACAGAGTCCTCTGCTTTTAAAGAAAAGTAGGGTATTTTATGGACTTTCACAATACATTCCACTGGACCTTGTCACATGCTGTCACTCTGAATGAATTCTTTGAGAGTAAATAAATATAGTCTCCCACAACACCAAAATCTCTTTATATGTCACTAATGGCAAAAAAAATATGAAAAAAGAATCAATCTGGTTTACGTCAAATATCAAATATCTTGAGTAACATAGGAAATCAGGATTCAACTCAAATGTGAAAGCTCCTTAAAGTCTTACATTTCAGGGCCTCCCTGGTGGCACAAGGGGTTAAGATGCAACCGATGAAGCTGTTCACACCCTCTGCAGCACGAGTTCCATCCCCAGCCAGCCAGGCAGCAACTCACATGGCGCAGCAGACCTCTCCTGACTCACCTGGTGCTCCCCTCAGCAGTGCACTTCGGTCAATCTGCCTGTTCTGTTCCCCACTCTGTCTCTGGTGAATCCTCTCATCCCCCGCATCTCTGGCCTGTATCCCAGCTCTTCTATGCATAAATAAATAAATCTTTAATAAAATAAAATAGGGCCTCCCTGGTGGCGCAGCAATTGAGTGCTGGGCTGTGAAGCTGCCCACAGCCTCTGTAGCTCTGGTTCGATCCCTGGCCGCCGGTGAGGGTCCCAGATGGCGTGCAGACCTCTCCTGCCACGTCCGCTGCCCCCCTCACCATTGTACTTCGTCAGTCTGTCTGTTCTGCTCCCCTCTCTGGCTCTGGTGAATTCTCTTACCCTCCCATGCTTCTGACTGTACCCAGTGCTTGTGTAAAAAATAAATTAATTAATTAAAAAAATTAAAAATAAAATAAAATATAAGTCTTATATTTCAGGGGGCCTCCCTGGTGGCGCAAGGGTTAAAGTCAGTGCAATCAACCTATCGCCAGCTACTGCAACATGAGTTCAATCCCAGGCCAGGGAGCTGACCCACATGGCACGGCAGACCTCTCCTGTCTCACCCACTGCTCTCCCAGCAGCGTATTTCAGTCAATCCACCTATTCTGCTCCCCACTCTCTCTGGTGAATCCTCTCACCCCACATACCTCTGGCCTACACACCAGTTCTTGTATGCATAAATAAATTTTTAAAAAATAAATAACAAAAGTCATACATTTCAATTCCTATTGTATTTGTAATAAAAATCAGTTTTTAAAAATCGCATTTTTGGGGCCTCCCTGGTGGCACAAGGGGTTAAGCATCATACTATGAAGCAATCCGCAGCCTCTGTAGCACAAGTTCGATCCCCGGCCAGCCAGAAAGAAACCCATATGGTGAAGCAGAAATCTCCTGTCTCGCCCACTGCTCCCCTCAGCAGTGTATTTCAGTCTGTCCGCCTGTTCTGCTCCCTGCTTTGTCTCTTGTGAATCTTCTCACACACAACCCCCATCTCTGGCCTGTACCACAGCTCTTGTATGCATAAATAAATAAATCTTAAAAAAAAAAAAATTGCATTTTTTTTTTTAATCTCATGAATAATATCTGATACCATCTATCATGGTAGAATAAGGTTAAGTGAGTATTAAACCAACCAGGGAATTAGGGACCTCAAATGTAGCCCTATTTCTTTTTTTTCTTTTTTTTTTGTGGGACCATTGGTGGCGGCCGGGGAACGAACCAGCACTGCAGAGACTGCGGGCAGCCTCGCAGTCCAGCCCTCAACCGCTGAGCCACCAGGGGAGGCCCAAATGTAGCCCTATTTGTAACAAACCATGTGGCCTGGACCAAAGCAATCAGTTTCGTTGGACCTCTCTTCCTTCCATCTTTAAAATAATGGGTTTAGATGTAATGACCTCTAAAGGTCTCTTTCAATTCTAAAATGCAATGACTCAGTGAGATTCTTTCAACTTACTTCAGTTCTAAAGACATTAAGTGGTTTTCCAGGGCAGCAATCTTCCCTGACTTTATCATCTGCTTCAGAGGCAAACTTGACTTCTATGTGTTCTAGCTAAATAGAGGGGAAAAAAATGGAAGTCATTAGTATCACTTAATACGATTGAAATTAATCACCATCTCATCTCACCAAAGAGCAAGACTAGGTTCTCCACTTACTATGAAATGGTCTGTGGAATTTTATTATTTTCATGCAAACATTAAATGATTTGTAAATTATTTAAAAATCAGATATTTCATAGTATTGTTATTTTTAGACTCACGTAGCCATTTTCTGTAATGAAATATGGTATCTACCTACTGTATTAAGAAAAATGAAAAATAGCATAAAAGGCTTCCACTTAAAGTTCAGAAATTCAGCATTTGAGAATACAAGGTTCCCATTTAAATAAATGGAAAAACTCAGAAATGGAACATATTTCATATACCTGAATATAAAGTGAGCCTAAGTATAAGGTGTTTCCACCGCCCCTGTAAAAAGATCCAAGCAGTTTTCTGACCTCCATGAATATATATGAACATTTAGAAATATATAAAATCTGTCTACTAATTCTTAAATTATTAATGTAATTATTAACTCATTTAAGGAATCCAGTGGCCTGGAAGGCTGCACATAGCCCTAGGAAGGGCAAGGACCCTGGTTCCACCGCTGGCTCAGGATCAGGCCTAGAGCAAGGTTAGGGACAGGGCCAGCAGTAGGCTCAGGGTATATGCAGAGTCTCCCAGAAAGAGGAGAAAGATACGGTTCAGATACCCTGTCCACCCCCCAAATTTGACTCATTATAAAATAATTTATAAATAGCTTTTTTCAATGTTCATACTTCACAAATCAATTGTATTCAAATTCTAAACCTACATTTTTGTGCTTTGATGTCTTCAATTATTTGAGTCCTTTAACACAGAACCTCTAATATAGAACCATTGTTTGAGTCCTCTAATACAGTTTTCTAGCAAATTATCCATCTTTCCTACTGCCTAGTTATCATAAAGATTTTTAGAATCTATATAATGTATTTGTGACTGGGGCAGGAAGATGGGGCAGGAAGTGTTTGTAAGGGAGAAACTCACAGAAATGTGAAAGCAACTGGTAACATTCTAGTTCCTGAGCTGGTCAGTAGATTCAAAGATGTTCAGCACATTATTAATAAATAAATTAAAAACTGAGGCAAAACATGGACCAGTGATAATATGTCAATAACTAAGGATTCTAGTAAGTACAATTATGTGAAGCTGAGATCTAAAAAGGATAGGGGCTAAGAAGAAGCAATTCAGAGTACCCCATAATATATTTTAAAAACATCTGAGTACAAGGTATCTCCTCATTTTTTTAAAACATAATATATATATTTTATATATAAAATAAGTGAAATAAAACACATTATTTTTTCTTTCTGCAACTTCTACACTCACCCTCCAAAAATAATTTTAACTGACATACTAGCAAAGGTATTAAACACAAAAAATGATGCTGATAACAAGTTATCATAAAACTCAAGCGCTGGATTATATTTACTATACTTAACCAGTTATGATAATCCTTGGCCCCTCTTACCTCAAGGGAATTGGTCAGGTAGACTATATTTTCCATAAGCACTGCCTGTTCATCAAATTCTAACTGTAAATCCAGAACACGAGGTCCCATCTTCTCCAGATTTTCCTAATAGCCAAAATGGTTTAGAAAAAAAAAATCACATTAAGAATATGCTGAAAAGAAAATATTTTCTCTAAGACAATTGCTTTTCTCTCAATTGATAAAATCTTCAAATTTCAACAATTAAAGTAAAGGTCTCTGCTATATGGTTTTTCTTATCTATATTTGCTTGTTAATAAAATTACTAGCTCAGAGTAATTACCATTTAAAGTATGATAAGATAAAGGCATCCCTGAAAAGACTGGAAGGACAAGATTCACAGATTTATAAAATAATATGGTTTTATCATTGTTTATTTAAAGTAACTTAATATGTAAACCCGAATACTTCACTTTGACAAGAAATCAACATATGGAAATATCCCTGCGAGTCACCAAAAACAATTTGAATTTTCGGAGATACCACATTTTCAAGCTACTTCAGAGAACAGTGACTTAATAATGACCAAAAAAAAAAAAAAAATCCTAAAGATATTCCTACAGATTTATAAACATTTTAAATGTCATACTATATGGGTACTCAGATAATCCTATGATATGTAAAAAGCAATTTATTCTTAGTTTTCTTGAACATGAAATAAAATATTTGCCACCCAAAATGTAACCTTTGGGATACAAGTTCATGTGCACAAATATAGATACAGCTGAAAACACACCACACTGATATGATTCCCAATATTGACTGTTTTCATTTACCATCCAAGTTCTGTTTCTTTCCCATGAAAAAGCCATTTTCTTATTTCTAGATTGAATCCTTTTCAAAGTTTCAAAGCAATGTGTCTGGCAAATCACTGATATTACTAAAAAAAAACATTACTACTCAAAAGTCTAACATTGGATTTTCAAGAGTCAATTCTTGAACTTAGTAAAACTATTCTTCCAATATGCCACCAGATTCTTTAACAGCATGCCATCAAAATTAAATGTCTTTGCAACCAACAACCGGATATTTTGTTGAATTCACATATTGATAACAGATCTAGCATTTTGATCAATAGCTCTAGCAGAGTAGGAAACCAAAGCATTATAAGCATACTAAGAGACAATTTGATTGGTATAGATCAATCCCAAATTCTGAATTATTTCTGAAAGTTAAAACACCTTAAGGTTCAGATAGCTGACTCTGGTTTATTCTAAGAATACAATCTCTGCTGATATAGAATAGGCTAAGAGTTTTTGTCAGGCCTCCCCAGTGGCGCAGCGGCTGAGCGCTGGGTTGCGAAGCTGCCCGCGGCCTATGCGGCACTGGTTCGATCCCCGGCCACCAGAGGATGGTCCCACATGGCGCACAGACCTCTCCTGCTGCCCGCTGCTCCCCTCAGCAGTGTACTTCGGTCCTTCTGCCTGCTCTGCTCCCTGCTCTGGCTCTGGTGGGTTCTTTCATCCTCCCGCACTTCTGACTGTACCCAGTAAGTGTATAAATAAATAAATCTTTTTTTAAAAAAAAAAAGAATATAAATTACATGAATAACCACTATCTGTTCAACAGGTTGGAAGACACCAACTAACATTTTAAAAAGATTTACACAGCCTACTTCTTGACAGTTAGCATTTAAGTATGGTAAATGTATCTTACTTACTTCTCACAGTATTTCTAAAAGGTGGGTACTACTAGTTTCCTCATTTTATAGATAAAAAACATTGGCCCTGAGAATCGAAGTGATCTGTTTAAGTCCTTACAACTAAAAAGTGAAAAACAGGATTTGGACCAAGATTTATCTGATGTCAGAGCCTGAGATCTTATGTAAATACAGTCTTTTTTCTGTTTCTCTTCGTAATAAATTCAGTAAATTAGTTACGTATAGTCGCCCTCCCCCCCTTATTCACAGGGGATACATTCCAAGACACCCAGTGGTGCCTGAAACCACAGATAGTACTGAAACCTACATATGCTAAGATTTTTTCCAATATATACATATACATGATAAAGTTTCCTTTACGAATTAGGCATAGTGAGAGATTAACAATAACTAGTAATAAAAGAGTAACTACAATAACATTGTAATAAAAGTTATGTGAATGTGGCATCTCTATTAAAATAGCTCACTGTAGGTAATATTCTTGGACCTTGGGTAACTGAAATCGTGGCAAGCAAGGGCGGGAGGGCCAAGGGATGGGGGGTAATGGGGAGCTATGGTGTATGAAAATAAGAGTCCAACCCAGTGATTCTTAATAGGGAAAGTGTGGAATTGGGCTGACTTTGCTCCAGGAGACATTTGGCATTGTCTAGAGACATTTTTAAGTTGTCACATCTTGAGAAGGGTGTGGGGGAGGCTCTACTGACATCTAGTGGGTAGAAGTCAAGGAAACTGATAAATATCCTACAGTACACAGAACAGCCTCCCACAACAAAGAACTACCCAACCCGAAACATCAATAGAGCCACTGTTGAGGAGCTCTGTTTTACCAATACAAACAACATTTATCCTGTTAAGCTAAATTATTTAAATATAAAATCTTGGTTCCAGTAGGAGCTAGTAAAAACACTCAAATGTAAGCTAAAAGAACATGCTTCCACTCCAAAATGAAAAGAAGGGATGGTAAAGCATGAAAGATTCAGTGAGTGTAACAATTCTACACCAATATTTTACCACAATACCTAGTTTCACATACTAAGAAATGTACACGCAAACACCAAATCTGAGAGCTCATTTCCCATAACCACTGACTGAAACGTGCCATTTTAGCCATTTCTTGGGGAAAACTGAACCCAAAGTTTCCCCCTTTCCTTTACTGTTTCAACATTACTCCTGTGGTCATGGGGTCCACAGCTTACCTTAATCATGGCGACAAATGGCATCACTTTCTTCATGTATTTCTTCAATTCTGGCAAATTGCCTAGTTCACTAGCAATGACTTTGTTATCAGGCAATTTTCCATTGTTGGTCTAAAAAAGTTGGGGAGGAAAATATTTTAAAGAGAATGCAGGACAGTAGATGTGCCTGAAGGAAGCAGCCTGCGTGTGCTGACGAGCACGAGTGTGCAGCCCCGAGCACCATGGGGAGTCAGAGGTGAATGAATAACACAAAAGGGCTTCTGCGATCCCCTCTTTTAAGTGCAGAGGACATACCTATTATTCTCCCTAAAGATTTATTTATTTATTTTATTTATGCATACAAGAATAAGGGTGTAGGCCAGAGGTGCAGGGCTAAGAGGATTCACCAGAGACAGAGTGGAGAGCAGAACAGACAGATCTACTGAAATAAACTTCTGAGGGGAGCAGCAGGCCGACAGGAGAGGTCTGCCATGCCATGTGGATTAGCTCCCTGGCTGGGGATCGAACTCAGACCGCAGCAGCAATAGCAGATAGTGGTGAGATTTAATCCCTGCGCCATCAGGGAGGCCCAACATGCCTTAATTTATGGTAAAGGACAAAAGCAGGTACATCCTGATGACTATTTAGTTTTTCCTTGTAACAACTGTACTTTCACGATTTTAGATCTTAAGTGTCTTCAAACTTCTAGAAACATGTCCTTAGTCACATCAAAATGAAAAAAAAAAAATCACAAGAGAGTCCTTGTATAACAAGAGTTATACAATATCTGTTTTAAATATTCTTCCCTATAAATTGTTGCCACAAATGTGAGAAAAAGAATTCCTAGCTACTGACCTCTTAAAAATAGTATCTCTAGAGGCCTCCCTGGTGGCGCAAGCATGAGCTTGATCCCCAGCCAGGGAGCTAACCCCCATCATGTAGCAAACCTCCTCTGACTTGCCCACTGCTCCCCTCAGCAGTGTATTTCAGTCCCTCTGCCTGTTTTAATAATTATTTATTTATTTATTTTAGGGGCATGTTTATTTATTTATTTGTTTGTTTGTTTTGTTTATACATGCACTGGGTACAGTCAGAAGCGTGGGAGGGTGAGAGAATTCACCAGAGCCAGAGCAGGGAGCAGAGCAGGCAGAAGGACCGAAGTACACTGCTGAGGGGAGCAGCGGGCCGCAGGAGAGGTCTGCGCGCCATGTGGGACCCTCCTCCGGTGGCTGGGGAGCAGCCGGGGATCGAACCGGCGCCGCGGAGGCTGCGGGCAGGTTCGCAACCCAGCGCTCAACCGCTGCGCCACCGGGGAGGCCCTCCTCTGCCTGTTTTGCTCCCCACTCTGTCTCTGGTGAATCCTCTCAAATACACACACACACACACACACACACACCCGCGCCTCTGTCCTACAACCCAGCTCTTGTATGCATAATAAAATAAATCTTAAAAAAAAAAGTCAAGCTTCATATTTTTTTCAAACATGATGAGCTTAAGATTTCATGATTTCCAATATTGAATATAAATAATAATCCAAATGGCAAACTCAGTCCTCTTACTTCTTAATTTTAACCATATCTATGAAAAAGTTTCTTACACTTTTTAATTCCATACAACTAGATGCAGTGTATTTTCTGCAAGTTTCAGACATAATGAAAAAATAGTACCTTTTTCCCTCAGCATTTATATAGGAGTCATCAGGGATAAGAAGGACAATCCATGCCTGAAGGTAAGACGAACCTGCAAGCACTACCAACATCCTTAAAACAAAATCAAGTAGGCAAAACCCAACAATGTTAGGAGGAAGGTCTCCTAAGAAGATCACCTCAAAGTGCCTGCGTAAAACTGACAGGGTGATGTGCTGCCAAGATGGATAGTTCTTCGCCACATAGATGGTACAGTGCGAAGGTCTCTGAGGGGGCTGCTTGTCAGTCTTCTGTGGAGAAGAAGAAATTTCATCACTCTCCTAGAAGCCAAAAATGAAAAGAACCCTCCCCAATTGACACCACTATGCCACTAATGTAAAAAGGCATGCCGCTACACCTCCAGTTGACGATGGCCTAACACGTTTTAATGAAAGTTGTCTTAATTTTCATCACTGTTAAATGTCTTTGACCAGTAACTTTTAAGGAATGATCTTGAAAAAAAAAAATGACTACCAGAAATTATGCTCCTGAAACAAACCAGGAGGAAAAAGGAAAATATTGGATGACATCACCTATAGGAGGAACATGGGAAACCAAACAAAGGGTCAAAAAAAAGACCAAACTTGCAGACAACAACAGATCTGAGGCTTACAGCAGGGGAGGAAGGGGATCAAAACGGGAGGGATGAGTACCAGGGACCATGGTGATGTTCACAGGTGATGTGGTGGTGGGAGATTTATGGGGACTACACCTGAGGGGAGAAATGAAATGCTGTACAAAATGAACAATGATGTAAGAAAATTAAAAAGTTAATACAAAATTAAAAAACTCAGCATAAAGGGGAAGAGAGTTAGAGAGCAAAGTGTGGAGGGGGCACGCTGGACTATGATAGAGGACTATGAACCTTGGTGGTAGGTGTGGTGGGGTAACAACACCTAAAGGGTAAGATCCTACACCTCTACGTCACACACAGTGTTGTAAACCAATGTTTCCTCAATTGAAAAAAAATCTTTAATTGTAAAAATAAAATTCAGCATGTGTAATGAAATTTAAAAAAAACAACTAACCTTCCCTTTAGCTGGCATCATATAGCTCTTGAGTCGCAGTCTAAGGTCATGTGCAACTTCCATGAGATACTGAGAGGAACGAATCAAGGCTTCATCCACAGGACCAGCCACAGGCCATGAGGCATTCATAAGTGAGTCAGGCTTTAACCAAAAAAAAAGACCCACAAAGGTTCAATGAGATTAGACAACACATCTATTTTATGGCTTTTGATTACACTTTCATACCAGGCTACCATCTGTAATTAAGTGCTCAGAGTTCAAACCTGACTACACATAATACACTTCCATAGCCCCTGATCTAATGTTCCCTAGAATTCAAGCTGTGAAGTCTGACTCTACATTCTTAATTAGCATCCATTTGTACTGTATATTAATACCCACACACATATGCTCACTTTCAAAGAAAATTATGTAATGCTAATTTGCCTAAATTGAATCATTTTAGATAAAATATGCACACTCTCAGTTTTTATCCTATTAATACATCCAGTATTGAAAGTATTGCTTTTCGGTATATATATCATGGGCACATTTTTGCATTGTTCATGCACTGAAAAATACAACAGAGCCTGGCTAATAAGGCTGGAAAGGAGTTATTAAACCACCCAATCTGTTTATCTGCAAGCCTGGAAGAAATAATTGAATTTATCTTCACAGTAAGAATACTAATATAATATCCCTGAATATGCAGCCTTATATATGCCAGAAATTTCACAATAAACAAGGATATTTATGCAAATATACACTTCTATCTTTGTTTCTAAGCAGCTCATAGCAGTTATTTATATCTTTCTCAATATTTTCACCTTTTAACAAACTGTTGGAAAAACAGTATTAGTTATACATGTATTCAAATGTATTATAACATTTGAACATATTCAAATGTATTATAACACTGCCTAACAGGAAGTAGATGATAAACAACCTGCACAGTCACATGTTTTTAAAATAAAATACACTGTGTGCATATAAACAGACACATATATGATGTATCTGTGTAAACAGGAGTTAGCTTCCAGTATAATCTGTGGCAATAATTAGAAGGAATCTAGTATTCTTCTTGAAATACTCATTTTCAGTCCTTTTACTTAACTTACCACATACTGTAATTTAAACATTTTCTTAGTAAGACCAAAATCAAGCCCACCTACATCACAAATGTATAAAGGTACCTTTCCCAGAAGTGTCCAGATGTGTTCACACAAATGTGGACAGAATGGAGCCAAGAGAAGAGTCTGCACCTCGATGAACCGGAACACAAGGTCTCTGTGCATCCCTTCAATGGCCAATTCACGATACTTATCTTTCGAAGCCTGTAAAATTTAAAATTATTCGCTCTTTCTCTCTCTGTACTTCTTTAAAATTAAAGGAAGAAAAATTCAGCTATCTCTGTCTAATGCATTTTTAAGTTTTTAGTCTTTTAAAATTCCATAATGAATTTCTATAATGGTTGTGACTTATTTTTAGTAACGTCTCAGTAAAATTATATCCATCCTTGTCTAAAGGATACATACTTTTGTATTATGATTCACAAAGAAGTTTTGTGAGGACTGAAATAATTGTTTTTATTTTCATTGATAAACCACAAACCTAACATTTGTAATGTACACTGTGATTATATATAGATTTTAAGAGATTATTAACAGTATACACTGAAACAAAAAGCTCAGTGGCATAAACTAACACAAACCCTATAAAGAAATGAAACAGGGAATGCTGTTTCACTCCACACAGTAAGAGCTCTGTCAAGAAATGGAGAAAATGAGGAGGTCCCGTTTGAGTGCTATCATCTAACAACATGCTTCAAGCGGGAATATGAACAATATATTTTATAAATCTCTCAGTAACGGAAAATAACTCTCAGTTGCCTTCAGAATTGAATGACAAATTGGTGGGCAATACAATACAAAAATTTTTCCTTCAAAATTCCACTGAAGGGGTCTGTCACACCCTAAACTAGGTTATACACACACAAGTACATCTCACATTTCGTCTTTTGTTATATGTAATTACATACATATATGTAATTATTTCACTAACAAACTTCTTTCCCTGCACCCTGTTAACTCTAGCATAATAATAGGGACTGTGATTATTTTACTTGCCTCTTGTTCACCTATGTTATTTCCTGGTAGTTATAAAGGGTAGAGTAAATTCTTTTTTTTTTTTTTTTTCCTCAGTGCTCAGGTGTGAGAAATGACTAGCGCTTTCTCCTTGGAGTTCCTTGGAGTGAGCGCTATGTGGGACCCTCCTCCAGTGGCCGGGGAGCAGCTGGGGATCGAACCAGCACCGTGGAGGCTGGCAGCGTAGCTTCACAACCCAGCGCTCAACCGCTGCGCCAGCAGGGAGGCCCGAGTAAATTCATTTTTAAATGAATAAGAGCGCAAAATGAATAAATAGAGAAATATATAAAGCACTAACTGTACTGAAGACACTCTGTTTAAGAAGACACTGTAGCAAACATGAAAGTAGAACATTTAAACTGTGTACTAAGGGTTAAAGCTCTGAGAGGAATATAGGATAAAATATTGAGTATCAAAAAAGGCTCTGAACACTATATATTGCTATGCTTAGCACTTATCTTTATTTAAACCACATCTCTAAAAGCCAAGTTACATAAATCCCAATGTGATAGTTTATAAAACTGAGTAAAGTTACATTTTTAACCTAAGCATATGAACTACCAAACTTGAGGAAATACTGACACCTTGTGGAAAACTTCAGAAAATGTTTTATTACTTTTTAAACTAATAGCAATATGCTATATAATTCTGCCTTTATTTTTTATCAATATTTTCCTTGAAAGTATATTTGACTTTCAGATTTAATCTCTTTAATGCTTATAGCATAACCAAAAACAAAACTTATATTGATCGACATAATAGGAAAACTACCCAAGAAAATGATTTAAAAGTAATACAAAATAATTGAAGAATTCAAAACTTTCTTGGTAAGATTTTTCAGTCTCCACTTTAAAATGAGCTATTCTGTTACAGCAGGAAAGGAGAAAGGTAAATGCACATCATATTCACACTGACATACTTTACAGCTACTAAAGAATAGCCTACCTGAAACTCAAAAAACCCTGTTTTCAAAGCTTCTTTAAACATCATCTTTTCATAGTTTTGATCTGTTTTTATAATTCCTGCATTCATCTCACTATTGAATAGGAGAAAAAAAGGTTATTGAATTTAAAAGCAAGTATGTATAGGTATAAAAAAACTGCTACATGTACCACCCAACAGCAAAACGAGAGCAATCCCTAAGATATTCAAAAGGGCTCAACCACACCACATCTCGTGTTTCTTAAAGCTGACTACTGCAGTGCAACCCCTACCGTCTATCCTCTCTTAAGTATTGTCGTTGCCACTACTCAGGGATCCTGTTTACAATAATAACACAGCCAATAAGTGTTTGTTTAAAATTTCCTTGATGGAAACTTTGCAATTAAGCCTAAAATGCAATACAAAAATCATTTAAGCTTGTAGTGAGGTTTAATTGAAACCTCATCTGAAACAATAGATACAAATTGTTGTTTATTTTTTAATTATCTCACATGACCTCAGGCCATTCAACATATGGCCGAATGTAGCCCCAACTTATCTCACCTCCCGTTTCTATTCTCCACATACTTCAAATTTGATCTATCATACTCTTCTCATGGTTTTCCCTCTCCCTGCAAAAATCCTCTTTATTTTTTAGGAAACCCAGAACTCATACATCACCTCTTCTGAAGTCCCTCCATCCCTATTATTATACTTATTAATTGGTTGGATAAGTGTTTTGTTGTTTGTTTTTTTCCTGCTATACCAACAGGAAGGATTAAACATCTTTTCAAGGGTGAAAAAAAAAAATGACAATTCTCCATTTCTTTTAATCTATTTTTCCATGTACCATTCCACCCTACTCTAAAGCAAGACTACACCATAAAATTGTTGTGAGGCTTCAGAGATAGAAACAAATGTGTATCACAGTAGCTTCAAGGCATTTCATGAAAAACTTAAATTTTTCAAAGTCTCAATTTCTTTAACTATAAAACAGTTAAAATATCTTTACTTTTAAAGGTTACTATGAGGTCAAAATCAGTTAATGGATACAGAGTACTTATCATAGTACCTGGCACAAATAAACTTTCAATGAATAGTTGCTACTATTATAATCTAATTTATTGAAGGAGGGGAGTAAGAAAACTTAAAAATGCACCAGTACTAAGCAACTCCAAAGTACATAGTGGTTGGGATCCATAGATTACCTGGCAAAAACTCTATCATTGAAGGTACTGGCAGGGCCACTTCTTAGGCTGTCCCAGTTGGCCACCATTTCTTTCACCCACTCCACCCAGGTGTACAGACGGAGAATACCTGCATCAGCCATGGCTTCCACAAAGTTTGCATCCTCAACAGTATCACCAGCATCAGCCAGAGCTAAACGCATTCCTGGAAGAAAAAAGTGAATCAAAGATTTTATTTTTTTTTTTTTTTTTTTTTTTTTTTTTTTTTTTTAATTTTTCTAGAGGCATGTCTTATTTATTTATTTATTTATTTATTATTTGTTTGTTTTGTTTATACATGCACTGGGTACAGTTAGAAGCGCGGGAGGGTGAGAGAATTCACCAGAGCCAGAGCGGGGAGCAGAGCAGGCAGAAGGACCGAAGTACACTGCTGAGGGGAGCAGCGGGCGGCAGGAGAGGTCTGCACACCATGTGGGACCCTCCTCTGGTGGCCGGGGAGCAGCCGGGGATCGAACCGGCGCCGCAGAGGCCGCGGGCAGCTTCGCAACCCAGCGCTCAATCGCCGCGCCACCGGGGAGGCCCCGAATCAAAGATTTTAAAATGCGGTTACTAAATATCAACTATGTGTCCCGTTGGATACACTGCAAAGCCTATATATAACTTATGAAATAACAAATCCTTTAAAGGACTGCCATGGATGAGCAGCAAAAATAAATCCTACCAAAAGTAGGAGCCCTAACAATGTTGTTAAAATACTTGAACCATCTGTATGGCTTTGCATACACTTAGCTTCAATATGTGGTCCTTTTCAGGCATGTTAAGTTAATGAGATAAAGTGATCTTTAATGAGGAAGAAAAGAATAAACTAGGAAAAGATACCTTATACCAACATTTCAGCCTCATTTACAGGTGGCAAAATATTACAATATTTTAATGCATGAGAATACAAACTGTGCCCTATGTACAAATAAGCATTTAATTTCTTAGCCCCCAAGGTACATTTTTCAAAGTTTTCTACAAAATTTTACTTGGAAATATTTTTTAACTTTTTTTGAATAATTTATCACTAAAGAGAAGCTGCAAAAGACAGTTAAAAGAATAAACAGATACCCTTTATTCAGCTTCTCTAATATTAACAACTTACATAACCATAGTTTCTAAACCAGAAGTCGACATTAGTATAATTCTATTAACTACAGATCTGATTCAAATGTCACTGTCAATATCCTTATTTGACATCCTTTTTTAGGATATTCATCTGATAGATCTGAACACCAGAATCTGTTCCAGAATCCAATCCAGAACCAAGATTGCATTTAATTATTCTTTCTCCTTGGTCTCTTCAACTCTGTGGCAGTCTCTCAAGTATTATATTTTGTAACACTGACATTTTGACTGAGTACTAGTCAGGAACTTAATAGAGTTTCCTTCAAGAGGGTTTGTCTGATGTTTCCTCATGCTTTGTATGAGGTTATGAATCTTCAGCAAGAACATCACAGAGTGCTGCAGTGTATTTTTCTCAGGCATCACTATCAGGGAGGTACATGACACTGGTATGACTGATGGGTGGTGTTGCAAACAGTCACTTGTCAAATTTCTCTACTGTAAAGTTACTATTTTCCCCTTTGATTAAGAAATAAATAAGGGGGGCTTCCCCGGTGGCGCAGCAGTTGAGCGCTGGGTTGCAAAGCTGCCCGCAGCCTCTGCAGTACCAGTTCGATCCCCGGCGGCCAGCGAGGGTCCCATGGCATGCAGACCTCTCCTGCCACCCGCTGCTCCCCTCAGCAGTGTACTTCGGTCCTTCTGCCTGCTCTGCTCCCCGCTCTGGCTCTGGTGAATTCTCTCACCCTCCCGCGCTTCTGACTGTACCCAGTGCTTGTATAAATAAATAAATAAATAAATCTTTTTTTAAAAAAATAAATAAATTGGTTTACTTATCTTAAAAAAAAAAAAAAAGAAAGAAAGAAATAAGGGGCCTCCCTGGTGGCGCAGGAGTTAAAGTCTCAGTGCTATCAAGCTATCACCAGTCACTGCAAAATGAGTTCGATCCCTGCTAGGGAGCTGACCCACATGGAGCAGCAGACCTCTCCTGTCTCGCCCGCTGCTCCCCTCAGCAGCGTATTTCAGTAGATCTGCCTGTTCTGCTTCCCACTCTTGTCTCTGGTGAATCCTCTCACAGTCCCCCTACCCCACATTTGGCCTACAACCCAGTTCTTGTATGCATAAATGTAAATAGATCTTTTAAAAAATAAATTAATAATTGGTTGGTTTTTTTTTTTTTAAGATTTATTTTATTTATACAAGAGCTGGGGTACAGGCCAGATGCATGGAAGGGTGAGAGAATTCACCAGAGACAGAGCGAGGAACAGAACGGGCAGATTGACGAAATACACTACTGAAGGGAGCAGCGGGGGAGACAGGAGCGGTCTGCGGCGCCATGTGGATTCTCACTGGCTGGCCAGGATCGAACCCACACTGCAGAGGCTGTGAACAGCTTCACAGTGCGGTGCTCAACCGCCTGTGCCACCAGGGAGGCCCAATAATTTGTTATTTCTTGTTCAAGGCTAATGTACACATAAAGTACTTTCTGAATTGCTAATCTACACCTCCTTATAAGAAGGTGTAATAACCACAAAATACTCCTTAATAACCACAGTATTTATGTACACAAATAAAACACAAGTATGTTAAATTGGTAAAAGCAAAAATAAAAAGCAATAAAAACAATCTTAAATTGCCTTGTGCTATCTGAGGAGAATCAGACCCTGGTACGACAGCATTAATTAAAAAAAGCTTACTCACCGTCTGCTGAAAATTTGTCAATAGCTTGGGTCAAAGTGAGGAAGTTGCCTGTGGATTTTGACATCTGAAACAGAAAGCCAATGAGTAGGCATTAGTAAGACTATGTATAAATAAAATAAACTAAAGCAAACAAATTTAATCAAAATAGACTGGCCAGGGCCTCCCCAGGTGGAGCAGCGGTTGAGCGCTGGGCTGCGAAGCTGCCCGCAGCCTCTGCAGCACCGGTTTGATCCCCGGCCACCGGCTAGGATCCCACATGGAGCAAGAGAAATCTCCTGCCGTGCCCACTGCTCCCCTCAGCAGTGTATTTCGTCAGTCTGCCTGTTCTGTTACCCGCTCTGGCTCTGGTGAATTCTCTCACCCTCCCATGCGTCTGACTGTACCCAGTGCTTGTATAAATAAATAAATAAATCTTTAAAAAAAAAAAAAATAGACTGGCCATAATCAGATAAAAACTAAAAGGACAGAAATGTGGAAAGAAAAAGTACATTATACTAATTTTACAAAGGGGAACACTGAAGTCCAGTCAATACAGTGACTTGTCCAGCCCACTCAAATGGTCGCACCAGTGCTAGGACAGGATCTCCAGTCTGATACTTAGCCCATTGCTCACTGCAATAAATAGCCTTAGGATGTAGAATGACTCCACTGTAACTCTGGGACATGTCAGTTGGTCATCAAGAAGAGTTTCATAGCAATTAGTCATTCAGAAATGGGACAGACCCCCTTATGAGGTCAGAGTTAGGGTATTAAGGAACTTCCTGTCTGTAGGGTCACAATAATTGGTCGCTCAAATTATGTTCTGCCTGAGGAAAGACCATCTAAGGAGACACTACACAGATCCTAACAATCTTGATAATTTTAAATTCTTTTTGTCTTTACCATGACTTTGCAGATCAAAGAAAGGAGGCTTTGTACCAATTTTGCACTACATGGTAATGAATTACCCTATTCTAATAAAATCTTTATGGTGTATAGTACAACAATGTTGAGACCAAAGAAAACATCACATTATAGCAAGATTTGTATTTATGTATAAGTAAAAATATATATATGGTTCTGCTTTGAATTACAAACAAAGGAGGCTGATGATCAAAGGGCCTTGTAACCTAATACAATCTATAAAACAGCCCATTCTGCTGAACTATTTTCAGCCTACTCTATAGATTATCTTAAATGAATGTTTTTATTCCCTTTCAATCTTAGGGCACTGGCTAAAAATGTTTCGTATTGCAATTCTTATCTTCTGCCTATTTGTTTAAATTTGTAACAATTTTCACTATGACATATTTATAACAAGAATACTCTTTTAGGGCCTCCCGGGTGGCAAAAGGGGTTAAGACTCATTACTATGAAGCTATCGGCAGCCACTACAACAGGAGTTCTATCCCCGACCAGGGAGCTGACCCACATGGAACAGCAGACCTCTCCTGTCTCACCCGCTGCTCCCCTCAGCAGTGTATGTCAATAGATCTGCCTGTTCTGCTTCCCACTCTGTCTCTGGTGAATCCTCTCACCCACCCCACCCCCATACCTCTTGTATGCATAAAATAAATATTTTAAAAAATGCTCTTTTACTATTACTATTTCACTGGTTGTAGCAAAATTTACAGTTGTAATAAATCCAATTTGTAACAATTACTATTAATGAAAAATAAATAATATTGTGACAAGATTTTTTTTTTTTAAGATTTATTTATTTATACAAGAATGGGGTTACAGGCCCTTAGCCCGAGAAGGTGAGGGAATTCACCACAGACAGAGCTGGAGGGGTTCCCTCTTCTAATATGCACGAAGGCCTGACAGGGGTGACAGCTTTGTCAAGAAGTTTACATAACCTTCTATTGAGGACATTGATTAATCAGACAAATATTTAACAGATAAGAAGTCATTAGTATTAACAATAGTAGAAGGGGCCTCCCTGGTGGCGCATGCAGTTGAGCGCAGCGCTGTGAGTCTGTCCACAGCTTCGGCAGAGCTGGTTCAATCCCAGCCCACTTCGATCCCTGCCCGCCGCAGAGCAACCCACATGGAGCAGCAGACCTCTCCTGTCTCGCTCGCTGCTCCCCTCAGCAGTGTATTTCAGTTTGCCTGCTTTGTTCCCTGCTCTGTCTCTGGTGAATCCTCTCACCCTCCCGCACATCTGGCCTGTACCCAGGTTCCTGTATAAATAAATCAATCTTTAAAAATAGAAAAAAATCAATAGTGGAAGAAGTAGCAGTATAGAAGGAGACATTATACTGCCTGAGAACAGGCATTAAATAACACATATGAATCCTACAAACTCCAGATTTCATAGCATAAAACAAACAAATAATACCCTACCAAACTACTTTCTCAGCGTAAAGAGAAAGAATCCAGAGTCACAGTGCTAGGGTCTTTATATTTCCCATCCTCGTCTGTGTCTGATTCTCTCTCTCTCTGGTCATAATTTATGAGCCCCTTAGTCATTCTAATTACAAAGTTGTAACAAATAAGCTTCCCCCATCCTCATCTCTCTCCTCAATTAATACTACCTATTTTGCTCACTCAAATTTAAAGATAAAACTACTAATTTATGCTGTTAGTCCTAAACATTCTAAATCAAAGATTTTTAACTCCCTGAAATTTTCTTTTTTTTTTTAAAGAACAACTTCCTAAATCTGAAAAACTTTCTGCAGAATTTTAAACTTTCAGAGGGCTTACCTTCTCAGAATTGAGGAGGAGATGTCCATTTGCTCTTACAGCTACAGGCCATTTGTCACTTTACAGGTAAATGTTCATAGACAGAAAATAAAATTTAAAGATTACAACTTAGACTTAAAATTTTAAGGTAAATGCTAAAAGATTGAGAAAATTGTACTAAGCCAACTGCACAAGGATGTTTACTGAGTCTTGTTCACAACATGAAGCAAAAGAAAATCAAAGTGCCCATTAGTGAGGGACTAATTACATAAACTATGCTACAGGGGCCTCGCTGGTGTACAGGGGTTAAGTCTCAATGCTATCAAGCTACTGCCAGCCACTGCAGGATGAGTTCAATCCCAGGCCAGGGAGCTGACCCACATGGCGCAGCAGACCTCTCCTGCCTTGCCCGCTGCTCCCCTCAGCAGTGTATTTCAGTAGATCTGCCTGTTCTGCTCCCCACCCTGTCTCCAGTGAATCCTCTCACCCCCATACCACTTACCCCTCACACCACAGTTCTTGTATGCATAATAAAATAAATCTTTAAAAAATAAAATAAAAATAAACTATGTTACAGGCATACAATGAAATGTAACTATTTTACAAATACAGGCAGTGCCATAAATATGAATATTAAATGATCCTGGAAATATTAATATATGAAAAGTGTAAAAATGAGACACAGAATAGTGTTCAAAGGGTGGTATCTTTGTATATGTAAAAAATAAGAATAAATAGCTGATGCTGGTATATGCTACATCTGTTTTCCAGAAAAAATCATTAGTAGCAGTGATAAGCTTTGTGAAATATACTGATGTGGGGGAAAGCATGAACGTTTCCTTTAACTCTTTACATTTATGAACACTTTGAATTTTCAAATTATGTACATATCATTCATTCACTTGACAATTAGATAGTGTGAGGCACAGCTGTTGAGAATAAAAATTCCAGAGCCAGACTGCAAAGGTTGCATCCTGGTTCTGCCAATGCTAGGATAACACTGGGAGAGTTATTTAAGTTCTCAGTAAGTTTCCATATGTGGAAAATGAGGACATTACAGAATTTCGTTGAGAAGTTGTAGTGAAAATTAAATGAGCTACTAAAAGTGACCAGAACAGTGCCTCACATAAGCACTTCATTTTTTATTTTATTATTAATTTTTTCTTACATCATTGTTGTCCCCGTAGTTCTGCTACTTTGTCACCCATGAACCATCACCATAGTCCTTTGTGCTCTTTCCTCTAGTTTTTGAGTCACCCTTGCTCCCCATCCCTTTCTGTATGGCTCAGGTCTATGGTCAGCTTGCTAGTTTTGACTTTTTCTTAACCCTTTCCTTGGTTTCTCTACATTCCACATAAAATCGAGGCCATCCGATACTTTTATCTTTTTCCTTTCAACTTATTTCAGCTAGGAAAATCCCTTCCAGCTCTATCCATGTTCATGCAAATGAGATGAGTTTGTCTTTTTTGATCACTGAGTAGTATTCCATCTTATAAATATACCACAACTTTTTATTCATTTACCTATTTGGAGCATTTGAATTGTTTCTCTAACTTGGTTATTACAAATAGGCATAAGCACGTCATCTTATTACTTACCAATAAGTTCTGAAAATCTAATACATCTCAAAACTTGATGTGAAGGGGTAAGGACACAACTATATTATTGTCCAGTACTTCTGAAATACCAAATTTCTCTAAAACTACATTTTAAACAATAGAGAAAAATAACTGGCTGACAAGAACATTAGGTTAATTTTACTTTTCTACTTCAAAATCTTCCTTATTCTTGGGGGGAAAAAAGCAACCTCATTCTAAATTTAAGAACTCACATGAGGCACACAGGTATTAAAAATGCCTTACACCCAAAACATTGCTTCCAGTTAATGGTGTAACTTTGGGCCTCTCAGCTCCCAAGGACTGTTTCCTCCCATTTCTAATGTTCTTGGCTCTAGCTGAAGTTACCTTTATCCCTACATCTAACAGTTCAAATGAGTCGCATAACTGGACAAGTGAATTACAGAGAGATCATGAATGCACCTAATGAGAGGCTTTGGTAGCCTAAGGAAGGTACAAGGATTTCTAGATATAACAGAAAGAAGCAGGTATACTCTCTTTCAAAGTATATTTAGTATAAGAAAAAGGATATAATTGCCATATCTAAATACATCCTCCACAATAATGTCCTATATGTACTTGAGGCCCTAAGATAGTCTTAATCATCAATAAATTGAGTATACATCTTTATTAGCACCCACCTTTGTTCTGGCCACATAGCCACATGATTATATAGGTAATATGAAAGATGATTTGGAACAAGATCCTTGCCAGAGACTCGAAGATCTACAGGATACCAGAATTCAAATTCCTTCTTTAACTGATCTAATTTTTCCTTTGGGATCTGAGTCTTAGGAAATGGGGCTTTCTTGAAGAAAATATAATCCCAAACTTCTTTGGTCATCTGTTGTGGTCTATATTAAAAATAAAACAAATTAACAACCACAAAATAAATATATAATTTGTTTGAAAGACTCAGTATTTTAGCGTAACTATGAATTATGAATTCGCCTTTTAACCTAGCTAGAGTAACAAATGAGGATAACAGACTCCTATAAGAATGAAGATTGGATAATAATAACAATAGAGGAGGGGCTATTTGTTACTTTTTCTCAGTTCAACAGCAAAAAACAAATTCATGACAATGGGCTGTTCAATGAAATTTTACAAAAAATAAATAATTTTCAGTACATAAATCAAAACATCACATCTCTTGCTAACAAACTATACTTCCTTTATCCATTTACTAACCTGATGCCCAGAGGAGACTCTGCCTGTCCACGCAAGTGACCCCCCTGCAACAAGTGTGCAACTGTGTAAAATGCCATATAGATTGTGGAATCAGAGAGCGACTCAATCAGCCACTGATCATCCCAAGGTAAACGAGTACCTGCAAGACAAAAAGAAAATTAGTACATGAGGAACCTAAGAGACACTTCATCTACAGAATCCATATTTCCAACAACAGTTGTAGGGCCTCCCTGGTGGCGCAAGCAGTTAAGCATCAGCACTATGAAGCAGTCCCCAGCCACTGCGCACAAACTGGAACCCCAGCCAGGGAGCAACCCACATGGCGCAGCAGATCTCTCTTGTCTCACCCACTGTTCCCCTCAGCAGTGTATTTCAGTCAATCCACCTGTTCTGTTTCCCACTCTGCCTCTGGTGAATCCTCTCACCGCCCCCCCCATGCCTCTGGACTACACCCCAACTCTTGTATGCATAAGTAAAATAAATCTTAAAAAAAAAAAAAGAAGAGTTGTACACAAAGCTACTTATTTAGGAAGTTCTTAAATTTATTTGAGTAACAAAAATAAGATGGCAGATAAAAAACAAAACAGTTGAGGCACTGATATCTTTCCATAAAAAAGACACACCAGAGCCTCCCAGGTGGCACATGGGGTTAAGATGCAACCTGTGGCTAAGTGTAGCCACTGCAGCATGAGTTCTATCCCCAGCCAGGAAGCTACCCACATGGCGCAGCAGACCTCTCCTGACTCACCCGCTGCTCCCCTCAGCAGTGTATTTCAGTGGGTCTGCCTGTTCTGTTTCCCATTCTATCTCTGGTGAATCTTCTCACCCCCCGCACCTCTGGCCTGTAGCCCAGTTCTTGTATGCATAAATAAATGAATCTTTAAAAAAAAAAAAGTCACACCATAAAAGCTATGTGGGCATACATCTACCACCAGATAGACAGTAGGGAAACACACCCTTGTTTCCTCACCCTCTAAATAAAACATCCACTTCTAATTCAGAAAACACCACAAGCCAGGGAAAAGAGATCAAAGTATAATTTGCTATGTAACTGACAAAGTCATTCAAACAAAAAAATTTGAAGTTTGCTTACCTAAACCATAAGTTCTTGAGCAAGCATGCTCCTGCAGCCAACCTAAAGTAGCTTCAAAATTCCTCCGGGTCTCTTCACAGAATCTGTAGAGAATAAAAGATAAAATATCTCTCTTCCCTCTGTCGCTCACGTTTCATATCTCCTTTCCCTTTCCTCATTACTTTCTCCCATCTTACGTTTCCAGGTCTTTCAAACACTGGAATGTCTGCGTTCTCCAGTTCTCTTCTCCATAGTCCAAGTACCTGGAGTGGACAAATTGATTTTTTTTTAAAAATGAAAGCCAAAAAAATAAGCAAAGTGACTGAAAAAATTCCTTCTTGCTATAAAGAGAGACTAACCACTGGTCACACAGGGCCACAACACATTCATCTGCAGACCTGGACATAACTTGTTTCTCTGGTTCCATGTAAATAAATGCATCTCTCTAAAGGAAAGTAAATAAAAATATGTCAGTTAGACTATCAAGTAAATCTCTATTCCTGAAGGATAATAAAAGCAACCCCACATTGTCTGCCTTCTGTCTTTCCAGGGTAGAGCTATCTGCCTTTCTTTCTATATTACACTTGCTTTTGAAACCACATGCAGCACCATCAAATGGATCACCTTCCCTAGATACAGCTTCCTTTTCAGTGGAACATGAAAGATGTTTATAAAGTTTCCACTCACACACAAACACAAAAAGAAGATATAAAAAATACCCAGAAACAGGGGCCTCCCTGGTGGCACAACGGGTTAAGCATCAGCACTATGAAGCAATCTGCAGCTACTGCAGCACGAGATCAATCCTCGGCCAGGGAGCTACCCACAAGGCACAGCAGACCTCTCCTGACTCACCTGCTGCTCCCCTCAGCAGTGTATTTCAGTCAGTCTGCCTGTTCTGCTCCCCACTCTGTCTCTGGTGAATCCTCTCACCCCCTCCCCCACACTTCTGGCCTACACGCCAGTTCTTATATGCATAAATAATCTTTAAAAAATAAAGATTAAATTAAATTTAAAAAGAAAAAATGATAGTAACACCAAGGAAAATCAAAAGATGTTGGGAAAAAAATGCACACTGTTTATATGGCTGTTTAGATCAGCCATGTCTCAAAAATTTAACCATTGAATATATTGTAAATAACAGTAAAAGAAAACATGTTAAATATAACTTTACTGCAAAGATGAGAGGTGGGGAAGTGTACACTAATGTGGTGAGATTAGAAAAGAAGACACAAGGCAGGAGGAAAGAGTTCACCCCTAAGGAAACCAGTGGCTGATGCTACAAACTGGAAATTGAAATAAAAATTACCCTACAAGCACAGGATGAGAAGGAAACTGCTGTCTTTTAATTTTAATAAGCCTTACAGGCAACTGTCTCTCTGAAGTATGGATAAATATAACTGTCAAAAATGTAAATTTGTTTTAAAATTTAAGTAGTTAAGTAGTTCAATAGAAGAAAGTTACAAAAATAGAGGAGAAAAAGACATGAAAGTAAAAAGCAAAGCACTACAGAAAAAGAAGTGTAACTACCAGTATCTCAAATAGTCACTCCCAAAAAGTTCTCTGTAAGTGCCTGGTACATGCCAGCTTCAGAATACTACCTTCACCAACATCACAAGCTAAATGAGAGCTAAACAGGTCTCCTATTTTCAAGCATAAAAGTTTATGGTATCTTTAATATAGCTCCAGGTTCTTCTAGAGAACTCACTGCTAACTAATGCTGTAGAGTATATTAAAAGTTCTATAACAGGGCCTCCCCGGTGGCGCAGCGGTTGAGCGCTGGGTTGCGAAGCTGCCCGCAGCCTCTGCAGTGCCGGTTTGATCCCTGGCTGCTCCCCGGCCACCGGAGGAGGGTCCCACATGGCGCGCAGACCTCTCCTACCGCCCGCTGCTCCCCTAAGCAGTGTACTTCAGTCCTTCTGCCTGGCCTGCTCCCCGCTCTGGCTCTGGTGAATTCTCTCACCCTCCCGTGGTTCTGACTACCCAGTGCTTGTATAAATAAATAAATAAATCCTAAAAAAATAAAATGAAAGTTCTATAACACCCTACAGAAGTGAGCTTATCACTTACAGTGTCAATCATCTTTTTCTGAATAGTCTTCTTCACCTCTTGAACCTTCTGTCCTTTAAATTCATTCACCAACATTACCTAAATGAAAGAGAAGTGGGCAAAATCACAAGCAAAACAATTAAAATTTGCTTTGGGTTTCCCTTAAATTTTCTGTCCACAAAACTAAGATATTTTTAGTGGGAAGTTAATCACTTACAACCATGACCATCAACCAATGGTTGATGCCAAACCATTGGCATAGCTTTACAACAAATACTTCTAACTTCCTTGTCTTTCCTTTAGTAAAACCAGGGTAACTAACATGAACATGATTAGGAAAGGAAAACCCTCTTCCTTCCCATGTATCAGGTTTCCACAAGCACAGAATTCCACCACACTAACTCACCTCGTTCCCGAAGGCTTTGGGAGAAGGACTAAGGCTAGGTAACCCAGCCCTATTGATTCAGGCTCCTCTTTTGAATTCCACCTTTGCCAGCAAGCATTCTGATCATGTGAAAACTTGGCTCTTAGAGGAAGGCCTACTAGTTTTCCACACTGCCTTTTACTTAGTAGAGGAACTTAATTCTAGGGCAAAGTATTGCCCATTGTTGTCACAGATCTAAGCCATAACCCCCTTCAGCCGGTATCCTGACCTCCATCTATCTGACTCCTGGGTCTCTCTCAAATAGCTTCTGTCTTAAATGGAAAAGACAATTTCGACCTTCCAACCCTCTAACATACTAGTATGCTTCATATCTAGTTAGTTCATCATGAAGTTATACTTAACAATCACTATGATGCAGTGATTAAGAGTAGAAATCCTAGAGCCAAGTTGTCACTGGCTGGCTGGCTGGAGGATCTTGGCTAAATTAATTAATCTCTTAGTGACTCAATCTCTTTTATCTATAAACAGAAATAACAGTGCCTACTTCACAAGGATATTCTGAGATTTAAACAAGTTAATATATCAGTACTACATGTATTCATTTTATCACCCATAATGTAAATTCATTTTTAAAAAGACATATAATCAGTTTTTAATTTATCTAGAAAAATAAGAACAAACATAAAAATAAAGAACATTCTCACTTATGTCCTGAAAAAATCTTCATTTCAACTTCAGCTATTTAAATAAAGTGGCTGAATATTTACTTTCTCTGGCCTAGTCTTTCCATGGAAATATAAGCCACATTAACATATGCACAATTAAGGAGAAAAGAGAGATTCAAAAACTGTTTGGAGTGTTCATATGGCATTTAATAGGTATTAACAAGTAAATTAATGAATTGAATGAAACTGTTTATTTTTAAATACGAACTCATTACTTAAAAGAGCAAAAAAAGGGACCAGGTACTATCCATGCAATAAAACTGTGCAGTTTATTGCATGGCAATATGATCTTTAAATATAGTCTCAAGAAATTAATTCCTTAGATAAGATTCTAGAAGACACAAAAACGTAAATGCTATTAGACTAAAGAATAGCTTTAAAAGAAATGTGGAAATAGAAGATGACAATCTCACATTAATCTCCCTCAAATCAGTATAAAGCTGCAACTATAAAGAATTTTTCAATATTTTTTTCTGACTCATTAAAAGAATCACAGAGTACAAGAGTAAATCAAATAAAAAAGTTACTTACACCATCATAAAACCCTTTTAGATATAACTTCTCCTTTGCTTCTGCAAGTTTTTCTCGATCATTCTGGCTCTGAACTTTCAACTCATCACAAATGGTTACAGCAGAAAGATTTCCCAAGCCTGGGATTTCAATGACTGGCACCTGCAAAGCACAGCAATGTCAGGAACTTGTACTGCACACAAAAACTGCCCCTGAGACAGAATCCTTTGCTTCTGCTGTCCAGGGAGTCATTTTAGTTTTATTTATCATTGTGGCAGTATCACACAATGACTAACATCCAGATGTGAATTATCTTCCTACTCTCACATGAACCACCCAAACTCTGTGCACCAATCCCCACGTTATTGCACTATACACACACCTTCCCCAGCTCTCAACCCTCCACTGGCATATAATTAACTAAATAACACTGAAATTAGCAAAATGACATAAACAATTAAATTTAGAAATGGTATTGCTTTTGGTTTGTAATAAGTCATCTGGATTCTTCGTGCAAGTTATTTGCTACTAATTTAAATGTTTTCCTTCTGCAGGCATAAAAATGAAAACATGAACAATCATGAATGATAGGGCAAAATCCTATCTTCAGAAACCTGGAAATTGACCAGCTTAGAAAAATAAGTTATTAGATATTTGGTGATGCTAAAATGTTATTTGTTTGTCCCAGGATTATAGATGCTAACAAAATGCTTATTGATAGTTTTTCTCTCTCTCTTCTCTGACACAGCTGATATTAAGTGAAAGTAAGCAAACTCTTAAGCAAACCTCCCTCTTATTTTCATACCCCACCAAGTACTTAATTTTGTTACAAGGACAATGTTAGTTCCTTTAGTCTCTGATAAAGAGATGGGTGAAAATATTCTGAATCATCAGTGTACTCACCGGCTCAAACGGCAAGACCATGTCATCCCTAATTCCATACTTTGCTCGTAAGGCCTACAAAAAAATTTGTAAGATGACACTATGATTAGGTATAATTAACCATTAAGGAGCAACCTCCAAATTTTTTGTAAATTACTATTCACATAATAAACTATTATTACTTTTAAATTTTACCAAATTATCTTTTTGTAAACTATTTTTTACATATAAACTATTATTAGTTATTTTTAAATTTTCCCAAATATCATGAGGACCTACGACTTTCAAAAACTCAACAGTTTAGGGCCTCCCCGGTGGCACAGCGGTTGAGTGCTGGGTTGCATTGCGAAGCTGCCCACAGCCTCTACAATGCCGGTTCGATCCCCGGCTGTCGGGAGAGGGTCCCACATGGCTCACAGACCTCTCCTGCCACCCATTGCTCCCCTCAGCAGTGTACTTCGGTCCTTCTGCCTGCTCTGCTCTCCCCTCTGGCTCTGGTGAATTCTCTCACCTTCCCGTGCTTCTGACTGTACCCAGTGCTTGTATAAATAAATAAATAAATAAATCTTTAAAAAAAAAAAAACTCAACAGTTTAAGCAAGAGTGAATGGCTTAAATGATGAACTATACAGCCAAGGGCCTCCCTGGTGGCAAAAGGGGTTAAGCGTCAGCACTATAAAGCAGTCCGCAGCCATTGCAGCAAGTTAGATCCCTGGCCAGGGAGCTACCCACATGGCACAGCAGACCACTCCTAACTCGCCTGCTGTTCCCCTCAGCAGTGTATTTCAGTCGATTTGCCTGTTCTGTTCCCCACTCTGTCTCTAGTGAATCCTCCCACACACACACCCCGCCAACACTTCTGTCCTATACCCCAGTTCTTGTATGCATAAATAAATCTTTAAAAAAAAAAGAAAAAGAAAAAAAGAGAAACCATACAGCCAAAAACAAAAATTCACATACACACACAGCACTTTTTGCAAACTCCAAGTTGCAATGATAATGTGAGTATCAGCACTTTTTCAAGTTTTGTGAAATTCACTTCAGCAACACATTAAAAAAATCACATTATTCTATCAATAAATGCAGACATTTGAGAAAATCCAACACACATTCATGATAAAACTAAGTAAACTAGAATAGCAGCAGACTTTAGCTTAATGAAGACTATCAACAAGAAACTTACAGTTAACATCATATTTAATATCTAACTCAATTCTTTCCCACTAAGATCAGGTGTAAATCAACTGCACTCCTATGTAACAACAATAACAAAGTGAAATTGGAAATTAAAAATGGATTATTATTCACATTAACACCCCTATGATGTAATACTTAGGTTCATAACTACACACACAAACACACACACACACACAATCTATGAGGAAAACTATAAAACTCTGGTGAACAGGACCAAAGAACTAAATAAATGGAGAGATAATCCATGGTCATGGATTAGAAGATTCAGTATTGTTAAGATGTCAATTCTTCCCTACTATGTATTCAACTATACATTCAATGCAATTCCAATCGAAATCCCAGGAAGAATCTTAAATGCTTAAGTGAAAAAAAGCCAAGCTGAAAAAACTATGTACTGTTTGAGTACAACAATATGACATTTTGGGAAACATAAAACTATGGAGATAATAAAAAAATCAACAGTTACCAGGGAGGGAGAGATGAATAGGACTTTTAAGATGAACAGGGGATTTCTTTTTTTTTGAAATATTTAAAATTTTTATTATGTTAAAATAGACATAGCATAGAATTTAGCATCTCAACCATTTTTAAATATACAGTTCAGTAATGTTAAGTACATCCAAATTGTGCCATTAGTCTCCAGAATTCTTTTCATCTTACAAAATTAAAACTCTATACTCATTAAACAATTCCTCATTCTCTGTCCCACTCAGCTCCTGACAACCATTCTGCCTCTTGTCTATATCAATTTGACTGATGTATGTACCTCAAATGATTGGAGGCATAATGGTATATATCTTTTTGTGTTTGTGAGTGTAATAGACTCAGGGTTCATTTATGTTGTCGGATATGTAATAATTATTATCCTTTAAACAACAGAACAATATTCCAATGTATCCAAGTTATACTACCTTTTTATAGATTCATCTCCTGATTGAAATTTGGGCTGCACCACCTTGTTGCCATTGTGAAGAATACTGCTATAAACATGGGTGTAGTGTACAAATAGCAAGATGCTGCTTTCAATGCAGTTGGTTATATATCTAAGGGTATCACTGCTGGACTATATCGTAGTTCTATTATTAATTTTTTGACAACTTCCATACATTTTCCATTGTGACACATTGTTTTATATTTCCACCAATTTTTCACATTTTTGCCAACACTTGTTATATTAGCCATTCTAATGGGTGGGAGGTGATATTTCACTGTGGCTTTAATTTGTATTTCCCTAATATTTAGTGATGTTGACTATTTTCTTTATGAAATTACTGACTCTTTGTGTATCTTGTTTGGAGAAATGATTATTTAAGTTTTATGTCTTTTTTTAATGGAGTTTTGTTGAATTTTAGAAGCTCTTAATCTATTTTGAATATCTAAAACTTATTAGGTTATATATAAATAATTAAGTGAGAAATAGAACTTTTAAAATTATTAGGCAAATCAGAACATCTTAAAAAAGTGATTTTTTTTCTTGTGTACTTTACAACATAAAGCTGATGCCATATTTAAAGAGTAATTTAAATACTGAATTCATTTTAAAATCAAATTAAAATTTTAGCATATTTTGTATTTTGGAAAATATTGATCTGAATATTTAAATAAATATTACCTACGAAGAAAAGAATTTCTTAGGATAACCAAATAAAAGAAACAATTGGACATTTGCCATAGGTGTTTATGATAGACCACTGGAGCATTCTGAGGATCTAGAAGCATGCTTTCTCAGCTGTTGCTGGCTACAGGGACCTGTATTCAACACCTGGAACCAATTTCTGGTTCACTTACCACAACTTTCAGGAAATTGCTATCCTGGCCTACTCCATTTCAGCATTTTAGTAAATTTCTTCACCTCAACCACCTTACCTAATGTTCAAACACTTTTATGATAAAGAGGATGCCTGATTCAAGTTGGATGAACAGGGGATTTTTAAAGCAGTGAAAAAACTCTAATATTATAAGGATGACTATGTCATTACACATTTGTCCAAGACCACAGAAAGTACAGGCCCAAGAGTGAACTTTAAGGCATGTTATGGACTTTGAGAGATTATGATTTGTATTATAAGGTTCACCCTTGGTATAAAATGTACCATTGTGGTGAGTGATGCTGATAATGGGGAAAGCTATGCAAGTACAGATCATGAAGTAAATGGAATATCTCTGCACCTTCCTTCCAAATTTATTATAAACGTAAGACTGCTCCAAAAAGATAAAACTTTAAAAAAAATAGATGAAATATTATATTTAAAATTCAAAGAAGAGAAAAATATATGAATTTTAAGAAGCAGCTGAGAGATAGCTTTTTAGCCTAATCCCATACTTAGTTAAATGGTTCCTAACCAATGACATGATAAAGAGGAAATAAGAACATGAAACTCAGATACTCACCTGCTTTTTCTTCAAATCTCTAAGGGCAGCAAAATCATCAGGAGAATCAGAAGGAACACTTGTGACCACACCAGTGCCTTAGAAAAGAAAGTATAGAATTAACCAATGCACCAAAATGTGACTACTGAAGTACTTCTAGAAAGAAAGAACTCTACCTTTATCCTCCTTGATGGTGAGCATTGGGAGAATATAGATGATCTTGTAAGATGTTAGAGGTGCAGAAAGCGAAGCACCAAGAATTTCCTGTATATGAAACAGATCAGCATAAAAGGTGAAGAAACTTATTTTAACCATTAAAATTTAAAACAATCCTAATATTTTTAAGTCCACAAAAGTCTGTAATCAAAAATATATCAAGTAAAACAAAACTCATTATTTTATACCTCCTAGACTAAAAATAATCATAAATAATTACAATTGCCAAATCTGGTAGGGTTGTGAGGAAATTAATACAGTAATATACTGTTGTGACATTGTACTCCTAGACAACATAGGAATTCAGAGTAAGAGCCACGCAAATGTTCACAAGTTCAATCTTAAAAATTTTTATCAAAGGAAAAAAATTGTTTTTGCTTTGAGAAGACAGCACAATGCTTATTAACTATACTGTAAAACCTGGAAACAAAGAAAACTTTAAATGAGAGAAAAGTTATTTGATATGAGACATGGACAAGACAATACTGTATATAAAAGGATCTTCTCTTTAAAAAAAAATTAGGAGATTATATAATATTGGGCCTATTTTCTCATTTGCCAATAAACAACTTATAGCCATTCGTTCCACCTAGGAACACGCATTTCAAGTCCACACAGTTCCCACTTATCCCCCTTTGTTCATACGGCTGAGTTGCTTTTATGAAATTTATAGTCATGTAGCTGAAGACTCAATATTTTAATAGTCTTAAAGGCTGAAAGCTACTTATTAATTTATACCACCCATTTTCCTCCATAATCTGCTCAAATCAAAATAGGAAAAAGCTGAATTAGGAAAAGGGAAAAAACTATGTCATTAGTACAGACTTCTCAGGCAGAACTACAACACCAGGAACTAATGAGATGTGGCAACACTACTTCCAAGAGAAAAAGGAAATAATCAAATATCCATTACAGAGAATATTAACTAAATTGTAGTACAGCCACACAAAATATTATATATCTATAAAAATATGAACAAAGAAGGTGTTTTATACTGCTAAATTATCAAGATATAGTTGTGTAAGAAAGAAAGCATGTGCAGGACAATGTGACAAAGTATACATACTACCATCTGTATGTGAAAAAGAGGGAGAAAGAATATATACACGAAAAATTCAGTCATGTAAATTCTCCATATATATATTATTAAACCTTATCTTTTTCTCCTAAATAAAAATATCTACACATGTATGGGCTGGTGTATACACATGTATTGGCTTGGGTGGATATTAAGTACTTGTAGAAGGATACAAAAGACAGTGAGTTTACTGAAAACCTGTGCAGGGCCTCCCCTAGTGGCGCAGCAGTTGAGGGCTGGGCTGTGAGGCTGCCCGCAGCCTCTGCAGCGCCGTTTCGTTCCCCAGGTGCCAGTGAGGGTCCCACCAAAAAAAAAAAAAAAAAAACTGTGCAAGGGGGAACTGAATGACTAGAGATATCTTTTATATCTTTTTGTCTTTTGTTTGAGTGTAATGAACGTTTAACAATCCAGGCAAAAAGTAATTTTACAAAATAAGAAAGCAAAAATTCAATGCAAAAGAATTGGGAGGTACTCTACTCAAATTTTTCTTTCAAATAGTTATTAAGATACCAAAGATCAGCATAAACAAAGGGGAGTAAAACACATTCAGAAACTGTAATAAATTGTAAGGGTAAGAGCTATGTAACTGTCCAGAATCAGTTTACATGAACCAAGACTTGCTTCTCAGAAAAAAAGCAGCTACAATTCTACAGAGAAACACAGGTATAATCATATTCAAAAAGTAATACAATATATGATGCAAAAAAAAAAAAATATATATATATATATATGATGCAGCTATTAAATCTGTTGAGGAGAACTATTTGATACTATGAGCTGAAATACAAGATTAGAAAATGATATTTTAGGGCATCCCCTGGTGGTTCAGCAGTTGAGTGCTGGGCTACGAAGCTGCCCGCAGCCTCTGCAGTGCCAGTTCGATCCCCGGCCGCCAGCGAGGATCCCACATGGTGCGCAGACCTCTCCTGCTGCGCCCGCTGCTCCCCTAAGCAGTGTATTTCATCAGTCTGCCTGTTCTGTTCCCTGCTCTGGCTTTGGTGAATTCTCTCACCCTCCCGTGCTTCTGACTGTACCCAGTGTTTGTATAAATAAATAAATAAATCTTCAAAAAAAAAAAGAAAGAAAATGATATTTTAGTGATACAGTGACATAATGAATATTGCAACCAAAACAAATAACAAAAACCTGCTCCTAATACACAGCAAATATGAATTTCACAGACTTAACACTGAGGAAGAGAACCCAGATGTAAAAGACTACCCTGTATAACTCCTTTACGTAAAGTTGAAGAACAGTACCTAATCCTTGGTGAGTGACTAAGTTAGAGCAAGTGTTATGTTGCAGGAAAAGGGTGAGTACTGACAGTGAAATGGACATGAGAGAGCCTTCTGGAGTTCTATGTTTTGATCTGGGTGGTGCTAAGAGAGTACAGACACATGAACATACACCAAAACTCACACTTACAATTTACACTTTGCATTTATGCCACAATTAGAAACCTTCTCAAAATGTTCTTTTCTCAAACTTCACCACTGAAATTTCCCTCTAACTGTATGCACTAAAATAAAAAGTATGCTACCCAACTTACCTCTCCCATTAACTCCTTGACAACAGGCACCACTCCATTGTCTTTGGTAAAGCCCTGGTATGACATATTCCTGGCCGCTCTCTGGGTGCAAATGAATATATCACCATTCGCCGTCTCAAACCCAATGTACTTCATATCAGGGCGAACCCAACAGTTTGTCTGTCCAAACATGGTCTCAGGTCTAAGAGTAGCAGCTACCAAGAAGACATTTTTTCCTTTTAGGCCACTAAGCAGAAAAACACATACTGATGTAAAAAAATGTTGTACATTATAACACAACAAGGTGATAGTGCAGAAAAGATACAGTCAATAACTCCTTGGCAAACCTACCTTAATTTGGACGGGTAAGGCTCAAGCACTTTCAATTTGATTAAAGTATACTCCTGAGGCCCAACACCCTAAACAAGTAAACAGAACAAAACTTGAGGAGGAAACAACTTGGATTAAACCTACTAAGCTATGTGAGAAATCTGTATCACATTTCCAAGATAGGTTCTTATTGTCAGAATTCTTTCCTCCATACCCATCCTCCATGTGGAAGCCTAATGTGTAAGAAGTGATCTGGGAGACCACCCTCCCACCCAAACCACACCACACCAGAACTAGCAAAGACAACCCAGACTCCGCTGAGTAAGGATGCTTTGCTGAGAGCAACCTGGAGAGGAGCGGGGGGCAGGGGGGCGGGCTTGGGGGGAGTGGAGTTAGAAGATAGTCACAGAGCAGGCATATACTAGACCAGGGGTCAGAGGGTGTACACTCTAAACCCAGCTTTGGCCCTTACTAATGGCTTGTCCCAAGAGAGTCACATTCTCTCTAACCCTTTGTTTCTTCATCGGCAAAATAACTATGCTATGCCTCACACAGGATTGTCCAAAGGACCACATAATAGATAGAATATGCTTTGAAAAATTATGACATAGTACTGAACTGTAGGATATTACTACCACTGACTATACAAAAGCACAACATGGTCATAAAGAGGGCTTTCTGGACTCTTTCAAATCTTTCAAACCTGTTCAACATTCAACACATAAGTTACATTACTTCAGAATAATTTTTGATTCTGAAAAGTAGTTACATTCAAATATGTTCAGAGGTAGTAACAAAGAATGATACACTCAGAGAGGCTCCTAAATTCAAATTCTGATATTGTTGACTTGCTGTGTCAAGGCTTTAGGCAAATCACTCACCCTTGATTCACTAAGGAATAATGTTACTAACGTGTCCTCCAGGAATGTACAGTAAACTGATGTCATGCATAGCTAGAAGTGCTTTGGTAATAGGCAAATAGGCACGTGATCAAAGCAAGTGTAAATGGAATCTGTATACCTTAGTTAGCCACATATCTCATTACCTCTCCCCAAACTCTTTTTTTGAGGAGAATATTCTATTCTCCAGGCAGTACTAATGAATTACACTGAGAGCATGTTAAAAGACAGGTTCCTGGGGTCCTAATCCCTGAGCTTTTGGTTCAACATTTTGGACCAAGAATGTGCTTTTCTATCACAAGTTGAGGCAGTGGCCCCAAGACCACTCTTGGAGTAGCACAGTGCTAGACAAGTTGCAGGTAGCTGTACCTGTCATGACATCCTGCCTCCCTCAATACAGCCATTAGAGAATCAGGACTAAGTTATGCAGCACTTGAATAGTTATTTTCTGGTTTCTAATCTAGCTGTTAAACTCTGTGGCCAGATAAAGATTATTATAATAGGCACTCTATGTCACAAATAATTACCTCTCCAGTTTGTCTGTCATGATCCATACAAGGTTGTCCATCTTTTGGAGAATAAATGGTATACCTAAAAAATAGTGACAAGTATTATAATACACAAGTTTTATCCTAAGAGATTTCCCAATATTGATCCTAACATGTTATTATATTTCTTCTAATTAAAACAGTTTAACTGAAGAAATACCTACTTCTATTATTTATGACTTTATGGGTAGTTCTATTGCAAACCTAATTAAGTTGTAAATCTTGCCCTTCTTTTTCTTTAACATTTTAAAAGAATGGGCTTATTAGAAAAAGAGAAAGAAAAAAAGGCACCTGCAATGGTCACAAGTAGGCAGGGATCTGCTGTGGCTGCTTTGCAAAGGAAAAAGGTTTGTGAAAAGAAATGACTGCATAGTCACAGCAGAAAAAAGAGCTGCCAAACTGTACTTATTTAAAGTTTTCTGGGCCTCCCCGGAGGCGCAGCAGTTGATCGCTGGGCTGTGAAGCTGCCCGCAGCCTCTGCAGCGCTGGTTCGATCCCCGGCCGCCAGGTGAGGGTCTCACATGGCACAACAGACCTCTCCTGCTGCCCACTGCTCCCCTCAGCAGTGTACTTGGTCAATCTGCCTGTTCTGCGCCCCACTCTGGCTCTGGTGAATTCTCTCACCCTCCTGCACTTCTGACTGTACCCAGTGCTTGTATAAATAAATAAATAAATCTTTTTAAAAAATAATTAAGTTTTCTGTCTTCATGAAAGGTAATACCAAGAGAAAATATACATTGAGGGCCTCCCTAGTGGTGCAAGGGGTTCAATCTCAGCACTATAAAGCTATCCCCAGCGAGCGAACTACTCACATGGCGCAGCAGACCTCTCTTGTCTCACCCGCTGCTCCCCTCAGCAGTGTATTTCAGTCAGTCCACCTGTTCTGCTCCCCACTCTGAGTCCGGTGAGTGCTCTCACTCCACCCTCCCCCACACCTCTGCCCTACACCCCAGCTCTTGTAGGCATAAATAAATCTTTTTTTTAAGATTTTTTTTTATGCATACAAGAACTGGGGTACAGGGGTCTCCCCGGTGGTGCAGCGGTTGAGCGCTGGGTTGTGAAGCTGCCCGCAGCCTCTGCAGCACCGGTTCAATCCCCGGCTGTTCCCAGGCCACCGGAGGCGGGTCCTACATGGCGCGCAGACCTCTCCTGCCGCCCGCTGCTCCCCTCAGCAGTGTACTTCAGTCTGCCTTCTCTGCTCCCCGCTCTGGCTCTGGTGAATTCTCTCACCCTCCCGTGCTTCTGACTGTACCCAGTGCTTGTATAAATAAATAAAAATAAAGCTTTAAAAAAAAAAAGACCTGGGGTACAAGCCAGAGGTGGGGGAGAGGGCGGGTGAGAGGATCCACCAGAGACAGTGGGGAGCAGAACAGGCAGATTGACTGAAATACACTGCTGAGGGGAGTAGCGGGCGAGATACGAGAGGTCTGCTGCGCCATGTGAATTGCCCCCTGGCCAGGGATCGAAGTCGTGCTGCAGAGGCTGCGGATAGCTTCATAGGTTGCGTCTCAATCCCTTGTTCCACCAGGGAGGCCCCTACATAAATAAATCTTTAAAAGAAAATGCACATTGACCTTGGCTTCGTGGTAGTAAACTAAAGAGTATAAATATAAATTCACTTATGAAATACAAATAGTTTTAAATTAATCCATATAATCAAGGGGAACTTTTAATTTATAGAACAAAGGATAAACAAAATTACAAATAAAATTATTATTTTACTTCTTGGCTAGGAATACTGGACAGACACTTCAGTGAAATCATAAAAGCCAACACTCCTATTCTCCCTGGTACTATTTGTTACAAACACTGAGCAGCTCAGAGAAATTAAGACACTGGCAAGACAAGAAGGAAACTAAAGGATACAAAAGAACAAAAAGGGAAAAAAATCATAAAGGGAAAGGACAATGAGAAAAGTAGGCTGTGGGGCACTGACTTACCATGCAGGAATTACATGATGTGTGCTTATTATAGTGAAAGACAACAAACTTACCGTTTCCCAAATTTAATTTTGCTTCTCTCTCTTAATGTTAAAAACTGCCACCTGACAAATGAATCATAATAAGGATTAACATCAGTGGTGATGAAGGAACGACGCCAGTCTACCTACAGGAGAAAGGAAAAGGTAATCTTTAAGAAATTTGTATAGTCTCTATGTATGAGAATTTCCACACAGCAATTATTTATTCTTTATTTTTTATTTTCCAACTTAGAATTATATCAACTATTGAAAGAATAAATTTTGAAGTTCCACCTATTCAGGATATATCACAATTACATTGATTTTGTGTTTAATATGTTTTTAAACAGACACACTTATGGGGCCTCCCTGGTGGTGCAAGGGGTCAAGAAACAACCTATGAGGCTCACCGCAGCCACTACAGCACAAGTTCGATCCCCAGTCAGGGAGGCTGACCTCACATGGCACAGCAGACCTCTCCTGACTCGCCCGCTGCTCCCCTCAGCAGTGTATTTTCGGTCAATTCACCGGTTCTGTTTCCCACTCTGGTGAATCCTCTTACCCCCCACACCTCTGGCCTGTACCCCAGTTCTTGTATGCATAAATAAATCTTTAAAAAATAATAAAGTAAAAATAAAAAATAAACTAATTAAGAAGTCCAAATCACATGTAATCATATAAATGTAAATGTGTTCCTTCATATTTTCTTAAAATATTAGGGTGATGGTCATACCTTCAAACCCATTCTCTTCAGATCCTGAATAGCCAGTGGTGGGAAGTAATCAAGCCAATGTTCTGCTTCAGAAAATTTGACAATCTCTTCATCAGACAGCCCAAGGGATCTCATAATGCCCCACTGGTATTTAGAAGATCCAGCTTTAGCAGCAGCTTTACTCTGAAAATAACCAGCAAAAACAAATTCATCAAAGAACAAACCACCAACAAGTTAACAATTTTAAGTGAATAATCCCATTTGCTCATTTTCTTAAATTCTGAAACAATGTTACTGATGTCAGAACACTGCAGGCATTAGGAGAGTCTATCTTGTCTGCCACGCTGTAGAGTCTGATACCCACCAGGATTCTAATACCAAGAAAAACTAAATAGGTGGAGCCATTAAAGAACTTTCATCAGGGCCTCCCCTGGTGGCACAGGCAGTTGAGCGTCACACTGTGAAGCTGTCCACAGCCTCTGCAGCACCAGTTCGATCCCGGCTGGTGGTATGGCAGACCTTTCCTGTCTCGCCCACTGCTCCCCTCAGCAGTGTTTCAGTCCATCTGCCTGTTCTGCTCCCCACTCTGTCTCTGGTGAATTCTCTCACCTTCACCCTCCCGCGCCTCTGGCCTGTATCCCAGTTCTTACATAAATAAATAAATCTTTAAAAAAAAAAAAAAAGACATCAGTATCAAATACTTCCTGGTATGATGCACTGAAGAGGACACATTGCCTCTCAATCTACTTACAAGAAAGCATTAAACAAACCCACACTGAGGGACATTCTATAAATAATGTGACTAGTAGTCTTCAAAAGTGTCAAGGTCATGGAAGACAAAGACAAGAGACTAAGGAGACAATGACAACTAGGTGCAAGGGCCTCCCCAGTGGCGCAGCGGTTGAGCGCTGGGTTGTGAAGCTGCCCGCGGCCTCTGCGGCACCGGTTCGATCCCCGGCTGCTCCCCGGCCACCAGAGGAGGGTCCCACATGGCGCGCAGACCTCTCCTCTGCCGCCCGCAGCTCCCCTCAGCAGTGTACTTCGATCCTTCTGCCTGCTCTGCTCTCCTCTCTGGCTCTGGTGAATTCTCTCACCCTCCCGCGCTTCTAACTGTACCCAGTGCTTGTATAAACAAATAAATAAATCTTAAAAAAAAAAAAAAAAAACACAACTAAGTGCAATGTGGAATCTTGGATTGGTCCTTGGAACAGAAAAAGACCATTAGCAAAAACATCGATGAAATCCAAATGATGTTTGTATTTTGGTAAACAGTATTATTCAAATGTTAATTTCTTAGTTTTGGCCAATGTACTATTGTTATATAAGATGTAGCAGTAGGGGAGCTGCATGAAAATTATAAGATAACTCCATACTATCTTGCAATTATTCTATAAGTCCGAAATTATTTCAAAATAAGGAGGGGGGGAAAAGGCAATCAAATAGTCAGAAAGATAATTTTTGGCTTTGTTATCTTTTAGAAATTACCATACACATTTTATGTGCCAGATACTGCACTAGTACTGGGAATGCACATATAAACTAGACAACTATTAAATTTCAACCAAGATAAATATCATCAATCACCAAACCTTTTTCCCTTTAGCTTTATCCTTAATTATTATGTCCTCTGTTTTAGCACTGATTTCTTCCTCTTCCTCTTCTTCATCTGGAAAATCAGGGGGGCAACCATATAGCTCTATTTCTCTTTTCAACTTATCAGCACATGCCTGTAACAAACACAACATTAAAGATAATGAAATTCAAAATTCAAGGCAGAAATGAGTTGACCTTTTTGCTTCTATGGCCAACTATAATTGACTTCAATTTTTGTAATACATTTATACATGTTTGGATCATAGAAAATGCAAAGGATACAACTCACATATGCCTCAAAATTTACTGATTTATAAATTAGTATTTTACTTCATTTACTCAACAATATTTATTCAAAACCCTGAGTACTCAGTATACATCTGATATGTTAGGCAGTACTAGTACAAAGAGATATAAGATATCATGTGTTATCATTTTGAATAATAATAACACTAGTAATAGCATTTTTCAACTGAAAGATTACTGTCAAACTATAAATAATTATCACAATACTGTCAATTAGATAAGTATTAAATTAGAAAATAAACACTGAGAGATGATTTATCCACTTCATAAAGTTAGTGAGCAACAGAACTAACACATAATTCTAAACGTTCCACACCACATTTTCTCATTGTATTATAATGAGCCTGCTATCAAAAACAAAGATGACACCAAGTACCCAATATTAATGTTAGGAGAAAATTACAAATATAGAATTGTAAATTTTAAAAAAGGAGGGGACTATTCTATGCAGAGGAATTTCAGTTAAAAAATGATGAAAAAGGGGCCTCCCTGGTGGCTTAGGAGTTAAGTCTCAGCACTACCACCATGAAGGACCTCCCAAGGCAAAATGGCCTGCGTCTGATCCCTGGGCAGGGAGCTGAGCCACATGGTGCAGCAGACCTCTCTTGTCTTGCCCACTACTCCCCTCAGCGGTGTATTTCAGTCAATCCACCCATTCTTCTCCCCACTCTGTCTCTGGTGAATCCTCTCATGCCCCCAACCCTGCACCTCTAGCCTACACCCCAGCTCTTCTTTTTTAAAAGATTTATTTATGTCTACAAGAACTGGGGCACAGGCTAGAGGTATGGGGTGAGAGGATTCACCAGAGACAGAATGGGGAGCAGAACAGCCAGATCCACTGAAATACACTGCTGAGGGGAGCACCAGGCGAGTAAGGAGAGGTCTGCTGAGCCATGTGGGCAGCTCCCTGGCCAGGGATTGAACTCCTGCTGCAGTGACCACGGACAACTTCATAGGTTGCATCTTAACCCCTCGTGCCACCAGGGAGGCCCTGCACACCAGTTCTTCTACACAAAAATAAATAAAATAAAAATCTTACAATAAAGGAGTAATTCTTTTAAAAAAAAATGAAGAATGACACAAGTAAAAAGTCACCATTTTGGGCCTCCCCAGTGGCGCAGGGGGTTGAGCGCAGTGCTATGAAGCTATCCACAGCCTCTGCAGCACTGGTTCGATTCCCAGCCGGCCAAGGAGATTTCGTTCTGCTACCCACTCTGTCTCTGGTGAATCCTCTCACCCTCCCGCACCTCTGGCCTGAACCCCATATATTGTTTAAACAAAAACAAATCTTTAAAAAAAAAAGTCACCATTTTACAGCTACCGAAGCAGAGTAACTGCTGGATTACTATGAACCAGATATTTAGAGGCTCCCAACTACATCCCACAAACTACTTTTTAGTAAGAAAAGAAAAAGTTACCTTTAGAATGAAGAAATCTGGTAGATTTCTTAATGTAATTTCACTAAAGTGGGACAAATTGACCCTATATACCTTTTGATGTTATACAATGGGAAATTTATATCACCCCAACACAGTATTATTGTCAAAATCTAGTCACGAGGCATCACGAATAAAACAATCAAATTATAGGACATTCTACAAAAGAAGTAGTCAAGATTCTTCAAAGATGTCAGTGTCACAGTAAATTAAAAGATGCTAAAAAAGAATTGATAACCGGGCCTCCCTGGTGGCGCAAGGGGTTAAGCACCGCACTATGAAGCAATCCACAGCCTCTGCAGCACAAATTCGATCCCCAGCCGGCCAGGAAGAAACCCACATGGCGAGGCAGACCTCTCCTGTCTCGCCCGCTGCTCCCCTCAGCAGTGTATTTCAGTCAGTCTGCCTGTTCTGTTCCCCACTGTCTCTGATGGATTCTCTCACCCCCTGAATCTCTGGCCTATACTCCAGCTCTTGTATGCATAAATAAATAAATCTTTAAAAAAAAAAAAAAAAAAAAAGAACTGATAACCAAATGCAATATCTGATCCACAAAATCAAAAGTAAAAAATTGCCAGAAAGGACATTTTGGGACTAGACATAGAATAAAGAAAGATATAAAGAAAGATATTATATCAATGTCAAATTTCTCAGAAGGGATGATGGGACAGTAGTGATATAGAAAACGTCCTTGTTCTCAAAGGACACATGCTAAAGCGCTTAGGACTGACAGTCATGTCTGCACCTAATTATCAAGTTCACACAAAAAGGGAGTAAATTTAGTAAACATTTGTGGCAAGATCGATATTATGGACCTGGTATCCATAAATGAAAGGTATGTGGTTTATTCTATTTACTACTCTTTCACCTTTTCTTTAGGTTTGACATTTTTCAAAATAAAAGACTGGTGACTAAAGAAAAAGGGGAGTTAAGCTTCCTAACCCTATTACATTTAGAGAATACTTTCAACTCTAGTTTTTGACCCATTCTTCTTCAAAATTTATTTCTAATACCAATTTGCGATGAAAATTCTATAATTATGTAAACTAGTGGCAAAACAATAAAAGGAGAAAAGGAAAGAAAGTATGAAGATGATATCTGCAACAATGACCAAAATAGACACTCATTACATTAAGCCAACATTTTATAAATGTCACAAATGCACAAAATAAATATATTTTACTTGCTAGGGTTATTATCTAATTATAAAATAGAGGGATGAATGAACAAGGTAACCAAAAGACACCAAAATTGCTTAAAATCACTTAGACATTAATGTGCATGCCTTAAGCACTTCTTCATATGTTTTTTAAAATTAATTTTCACTATAATAAATTCAACTCATTTCAAAAAACACTTTAATATATACAGCAGTATTTGAAAATCCTATTTCAAACTCTTGAATTGGATATTACTATCTGCTCCAAGCTACCAAGAGTAGAAACCAATCCCAAAAGCAATCTTACCTTAATAGGCATTCCAGTACAATGTAAACCAAAGGGAAACAGACAAACTTTTCCTTTCAATCTCTGATACCCTACTGCAAACTACAGGGGGAAAAAATTAAATTTAAATTACAAATTTCAATACTAGATACAGCTTGCATCAAATCAGCTAGATGCTGACTTTTCACAAAGAATATCAGTTTAGTTTCCTCCTTAACCCCCTCCTTTAGAGCACCAGCTAGATTTTACATTTAATCCAAAATTCTAGTCCACTATAATTTTCATGTCTTTCCAGTAACCCAGAAATTACTTATGCACATGCATACTTCCCTTAGGCCCTTGTCTTTCTCTCTCTCTGTCTCTCTCTCTCTTTCTCTCTCTCTCTCACACACACATACACACACACCTAGCATGTGAAAACTAAATATAAAAATTTGTAATTATACTTAAAATTAAAGAATTCTTAATTCCTTAACAGGTAATAAAAGCTATAGATGCCATTTCTTAAAAACAGTACTTATTAAAGGTAACTACTTTAGTATTCATCTTAATAGTATTTATTAAAGATCCTCTATCCTAGTATATTAAACACAGACTTACCTCACATTTGGATAAAGAAAATGTGTGTCCCAAGTGAAGGCGCCCATTCATATATGGATATGGAAAGGTTACAAAGAACTTGCCCTTGCTGCAAAAAAAAAACATGTGAAAAAGAAGGTAATGAAAAGAAAATGGTATGTTCCTTTTAAAATGAGATGGTGAGATTCCAATAAATAATTAAGTTCTAGTAATTTAAAAGACATTTAAGGGCCTCCCCAGTGGCGCAGCGGTTGAGCGCTGGGTTGCGAAGCTGCCGGCGACCTCTGCGGCGCTGGTTCGATCCCCGGCTGCTCCCTGGTCACCGGAGGAGGGTCCCACATGGCGCGCAGACCTCTCCTGCCGCCCGCTGCTCTCCTCAGCAGTGTGCTTCGTTTGTCTGCCTGCTCTGCTCCCCGCTCTGGCTCTGGTGAATTCTCTCACCCTCCCGCGCTTCTGACTGTACCCAGTGCATGTATAAACAAAAACGAACGAACAAACAAACAAATAAATAAATAAAAAACATGCCTCTATAAAAAAAAAAAAAAAAAAGACATTTAAAATTAAATTCATAAATCCAGAATTCCAGTTTTCTAAAATTGGGCCTCCTTGGTGGCTGAGGGGTTAAGTCTCAGTGCTATCACACTAGCACTGCTGTGGCCTGAGTTTGATCCCCAGCCAGGGAAATAACCCACATGGTGCAGCAGACCTCTCCTGCCTAGCCTGCTGCTCCCCTCAGCAGTACATTTCAGTAGATCCGCCAGTTCTGCTCTCCACTCTGTCTCTGGTGAATCCTCTCACCCCTTGCACCTCTGTCATACACCCCAGTTCTTCTATGCATAAATAAATAAAATCTTAAAATTTTTTCATTAAAAAAGAAATAATCCTTGTAGTAAACAGTGGGTTGATTAACTTAACTTCCTGAGTTAAACTAAAATACTTGAGCAAAGACAACAGACTGAAAAATGATTTTAGCAGTGTACTTCGGTCCTTCTGCCTGCTCTGCTCCCCGCTCTGGCTCTGGTGAATTCTCTCACCCTCCCGCGCTTCTGACTGTATCCAGTGTTTGTATGTATGTATGTATCTATCAATCAATCAATAAATAAATAAAAAAAAAAAAGAAAAATGATTTTAAATACTCTGAACAAATCTAGCTTAATTTAATGTTTCACTGATTAACTGAGATTTGTATTCGCCATCTATATATAAAAAGCAATTCAAAGTCTCTGAGCTCCAAATAAGTATTCTTTGTATTACATGATATGTAGTGAATTCAGTTAAAAAGCTGTTCATTGTGGGTTTTTTTCATTTTTTTTATTTATTTATAAATAAATACAAGAGCTGGGTACAGGCCAGAGATGCAGGAGGGTGAGAGGATTCACCAGAGACAGAGTAGGGAGTAGAACTGGCAGATTGACTGAAATACACTGCTGAGGGGAGCAGCGGGAGAGATAGGAGAGGTCTGCTGGGCCATGTGGGTTGCTCCCTGGCCAGGGATTGAAATCGTGCTGCAGAGGTTGCGGATTGCTTCATAGTGCTGTGCTTAACCCCTTGTGCTACCAGGGAGGTCTTGTTCATTGCATTTTATTCCTTTTTATGAATCAAGTATCTCTAACACAGACTACTATCAGGTATAATAAAATGAACACTTATTAATACACCATCCAACTCATGAATCCCCTGAAGCTACCTGTATGCTCCTCCCCACTTTCCCACCAGAGAAAACCAGAAAACCAGAACCTTGTCACATAGCTCCAACCTAAATGCAAATTTGTCTGCAAATATGGACTTAATCATTTCTGCTCCACCCCCCTAAGAACGACTGGTCTTTTGTTGTGGAGGAGAAAATGGAAGGAACAGGTATTGCATAGGCAACCTGTCATGGTTTTCCTCAAACAGTAGTCCTTATATGCATATTAGAATTGAAAACAGGGGCCTCCCTGGTGGCGCAGGTGGTTGAGCGCTGCGCTGTGAAGCTGCCCGCAGCCTCTGCTGCACCGGTTCAATCCCCACCAGCCAGCGAGGGTCCCACATGGCAAGCAGACCTCTCCTGTCTCGCCCGCTGCTCCCCTCAGCAGTGTATTTCATCAGTCAGCCTGTTCTGTTCCCTGCTCTGTCTCTGGTGAATCCTCTCACCCTCCCACGAATCTTGCCTGTACCCCAGTTCTTGTATAAAGAAATAAATTTAAAAAAAAAAGTATTGGTAATCTGAAAGAACTATTAAGGTTACGTGAGAATGTGCATGTAAAAAATGGCATATTTCCTATGGCCCTGGCATATTAAAAGGTATTCATCATTAGCTGCTATTATTATTATCAGTATATTCCCTTAGTTCTGAGAGGCACATTTTTCTACATTTCAATATATCAGAAGTTGAGATGAAATGCACATATTATTAGAAAGCAGTTGGTTTTTGTTTTTCCCCAATGTCATATCATTATCTCTGGTTTATCTTACAATCAATGATCCTTAACATCAGGTAATATATACTTATGAGATAAGCTCTTCAAATACAGAAACACTTCAATTATTATCACAATAACATGAATCTCTGGAAATTATTATCACAATAACATGAATCTCTAATAAAATGAATTCTTTTTACCAGTAGGAAAACATCCTGCTTTATTTGTTTTCCTTTTTTTGTAAAGCCATATTTATTGAGGTAATATTGATTTACAGCATAGTATATGTCACAGGGAAATAGGGTCACACCTCTGCAAATGTATATTATTTCACCACATCCACCACCAGTAATCTGCCTTTGCTTAAATAAGAAAATACTTTTTTAAAAACTTTGTACAGAAACAAACCCTTCAAGAATTCCATAGGAAAGAAGATATTAAGTGGAAGTCACCTCTTCCAGCCCATTTCAAACATTATAAATACAATCCTTTCCACAGAGCAGTTTATGTATTAAAAGCCAATGGTATAAAAACACAATGTATAGAACATCACAAACTATTACTCACCTAGTCTGCTTCTCTAAATTAGATGCATTGACCTCAAACACTTTATCAGTATCCCATTTCTGTTGGATTTCTTTCTCAATCTTCTTCAAAAAATCCACTTTGGCCGTTCCTTTTCTTTCCTATTGGATACAAAAGAGAATAATCCACGTTATTCTTCAGCAAACTTGTTCTTAAAAAAGGAAAAAGAACTGGGTTCCGAGAGAATTGAGCTGCTTACTGAGAGGTCCATTTTTCCATGGTTCTCTTAAAATTCAAATAAACAAGATTAAAAAGTTGGGCTGTTCCAGTCAAACCTCAAATGAATGGTTAAAGAATCACTTAAATATGTAAAAAGTTTTTAAATACTTTTTTAAAATCAGATACTACAGGGCTTCCCTGGTGGCGCAAGGGGCTAAGACGCAGCACTATGAAGCTATCTGCAGCCACTGCAGCATGAGTTCGATCCCTGGCCAGGGAGCTACCTACATGGCGCAGCAGACCTGTCCTTTCTTGCCCACTGCTCCCCTCAGCAGTGTATTTCAGTCAGTCTGCCTGGTCTGCTCCCCACTCTGTCTCTGGTGAATCCTCTCACCCTACGCACCACTGCCTACCCACCTCTGTACAAATAAAATCTTTAAGAAAATAAAGTCTATACTCTTAAACTTGCACTCAGGGTCCATCTTGTCTCCTATTCTCTCAAACCACCCTCCCCCAATCTCATTGCCTTCAAGTCTCAGCTGATCACTTGTCTTGAGATGCCATTCTTATTGTGTTCTTAGCTACCAATATTTCCCTTACAGTAGCATTAATCACACAGTAGCATCAGCATGGCTGCCTTCCCACAGGACCATAGTGTGTTCATGATGGAGACTGTTATTTCTCATGATATCCTCACTGTCTAACTTATAGCTCTCAATAAATGTTTATTGAGTATTTAAAGATTTTTACAGTGCACAGTAACACACTGCCTGCTTTTTGAATATTGTGGCCATAAAGAAATAACATGGACAAAGACCTGGGTTGCATATTTAAATCAAAGTGCTAAGTAATTGGGACTCTTTCCTAAGAATTTCCACAAAACTAAGTGTGGCTGTGTATTTCCTTTTCCCAAGAAAGAATATACCTCTGCATTCCTGCTACCAAAAACTCATGTAGGTCCTTGGCTCCTTTGCCCGTTACTGCAAATCCTCTTCACAGGTAATCTACCCCCAGACTCTAGTTCAATATAGGCTAATCCCTGTTTTCAATTCTAATATGCATATAAGGACTACTGTTCGAGGACAACCATGGCAGGTTGCCTATGCAATATCTGTTCCTTCCCTTTTCTTCCTCCACAACAAAAGACCAGTCATTCTTAGGGGAGTGGAGCAGAGATGGTTAAGCCCATATTTCCAGACAAATTTGCATTTAGGTTGGAGCTATGTGACAGGGTTCTGGCAAAGGAGTTTTACACAGAAGTAAATATATCGCTTCTGCATGACCCTTAAAACAGTCTGTACAACTCCTAAAAGTCAACTTAACCTGTACATACAGCAGGCACTGTGCCTAGGGTCTGCAATACTTTCAGGACTCAAAATAAATTTTAATTTGCTTTAAAATCAGAAGAACAAAGTAAACTTTTTATTTGGAAAAAAACTTTAATATTTAACATTAAGTATTTGTCTTCATGCCAACATAGTTTTAAAATACGTTTTAGTATTTTTTACAGAGGGAGGGGACCATGAAGTCACAAGTATCCAGGACCACATGAGGCCTAGTTGTACCTCCTACCCTAGGATGACAGGTCATAGGAAATCTCACTATGATTACTCAGTTCCCCTCTATTTTAACAAACTTGAGTTGACTTCCATTGCAGGCAACCAAATGATCCCGAAGTCATGTACCCAGTTGTGCTGTCAACTCCCGGCAGTAAGCACTTTACAAATCTTCTCTAGTCACTGCAGCACCAAATATAATGTCATAGACACCGAAGTTACATGACAAATATCTTTTGCCTAAGTATGGTGGGGGCTACCTGGTGGTGCAGGGGTTAGAAAAGCGCTATCAAGCTATCCACAGCCAGAGCAGCAGAGTTAGATCCCAAGCCAGGCAGGGAGCTGACCTACATAGCCCAGCAGACTTCTCCTGCCTCGCCCGCTGCTCCCCTCAGCAGTGTATTCCAGTGTACCTGCCTGTTCTGCTCCCCACTCTCTCTAGTGAACCCTCTCACCCCCCTGCACCTCTGGCTTACACCCCAGTTCTTGTATGCATCAATAAATAAATCTTTAAAAAATAAATAAATATGGGCCTCCCTGGTGGCGCAGGCGGTTGAGCAAAGCACTGTGAAGCTGTCTGCAGCCTCTGCAGTGCTGGTTCGTTCCCCACTGGCCTTGGAGCAACCCACATGGCAAGCAGACCTCTACTGTCTCGCCCTCTGCTCCCCTCAGCAGTGCATTTTGTCAGTCTACCTGTTCTGTTCCCCGCTCTGTCTCTGGTGGATCCTCTCACCCTCCCACCCATCTGGCCTGTACCCCGGTTCTTGTATAAATAAACTTTTAAAAATAATAATAATAAATAAATAAATATGATGTTGTCCACTTTACAGAATATGAAAGCAAGAGCCTTCACAAATTACTTAATACTATGTGTTTCTTTTCACTGCACTGAGCATGCTAAATACACAAAAGTTCTTCTTTGAGGTTTCTGCTTCCCAGAAAAACTTATTCCTCAAAACCTCAAAGGCCGATTGTAATGAAATCCGACACTGGTCCCAAGTCCCAAGACTTGTTGTGCAACCTTGAGCAGTCATTTGATCAATATGAGCCTCAATTTTTTCACTGGCTATTCAACTAGACAATTGGTTAATTTATTAGGGTTTATTTAAGTCAGAGTTCCTAAACTCTGACTCCTAAGTCAGAGTCCCTAAACTAGTGTCATTTTGGGTCACATAATTCTTTGTCTTCAGGGACTATCCTATGCATTGTAGGGTATTTATGAGCATTCCCGGCTTCTACCCACTAGAAGCCAATAGCACACCAGTGGCCAAATGTTCTTGGGGACAAAATCATCCCAGTAAGAGGCACTGGACTAAATCATAAACTTTTTCATACATTCACAGTATTCTGTAGTTCTTTAAACTTTTATGAGCATAACTTTATTTGATCTTATCAATAACCTTAAGTAGGCAGACCAGTAATAATTGTTTCATGATGAAACTGAAGTTTATCATGCCAGCAAATGGTCAAGTTGGACAAAAACTCACACTGCCTATTTCTGCTTCTTGTTTCTCTTGCCATATCCTAGCTCTACCACTTACTTTTTTTTTTTTTTTAAGATTTATTTACTTATGCATACACGAACTGGGGTACAGGCCAGAGGTCTGGGGGGTGAGAGGATTCACCGGAGACAGAGTGGGGAACAGAACAGGCAGAATGACTGAAATACACTCCTGAGGGGAGCAGCATGTGAGTCAGGAGAGGTCTGCTGCGCCATGTGGGTTGCTCCCTGGCTGGGGATTGAACTCGTGCTTGCAGTGACTGCCGATGGCTTCATAGGTTGTGTCTTAACCCTTGCGCCACCAGGGAGGCCCCTCTGCCACTTACTTACCTGTAGAACCCTAGGCAAGTGCTTAACTTTTTGAAGTCTCCTTTCCTCTACCTGTCTATAAAATGGTGATAATTATACCTACCTCGTATTATTATTGTGAGGATTAAGAGATAATACAAAGGAAGGACTTAACATAGTATCAGTCCATGATGTAAATGCTCAATACACAAGTAACAAGACATTATGTGCTTTTTATTAAGCTGTGAAATGGCTTTGTGGTTCTGTTTTAAGACAGCGTATCACTTTACACATATATACAAGTGTGTGTTTGCGTAGCGTATATATGTAAAGCTTAGTGGTAAAATGGGAAAATGCCTGAAATTTGCTTAAAAGTGCTCCTGAGCCATGGAGAGGGTCTGGAAGAGGTATATATGAAACAGTATCAGTCTTGAGCTGTCAATCACTGAAGTTGCCAATGCGGACATGGAAGAACATAATCATAATACTATTAAATCTACTTTATTTATTATTTAAAATTTCCAAAAGAAGGGCGGTGGGAATTGTATGGGACTACAACCAAGATGAAAATGCAAAATTGTGCAAAAATGAAAAATGGTGTAAAAAATAGATAAAATTAGGGGCCTCCCCGGTGGCGCAGCGGTTGAGCGCTGGGTTGCGAAGCTGCCCGCGGCCTCTGCGGCGCCGGTTCGATCCCCGGCTGCTCCCCGGCCACTGGAGGAGGGTCCCACATGGCGTGCAGGCCTCTCCTGCCGCCCGCTGCTCCCCTCAGCAGTGTCCTTCGGTCCTTCTGCCTGCTCTGCTCCCTGCTCTGGCTCTGGTGAATTCTCTCACCCTCCCGCGCTTCTGACTGTACCCAGTGCATGTATAAAACAAAACAAACAAACAAACAAATAAATAAATAAAACATGCCTCTATTTAAAAAAATAATAAATAAATAAATAAAAAATAGATAAAATTAAAAAATAAAAAAATTAATAAAAATTAAAAAATAATAAAATTTCCAAAAGAAAAAGTTTAAAAATAATAATTTTTTTAAGTTGGCTATTATCTTTATGACATCACCACCACAGGTTCCTTCTAAAATTCTGATATATAATTAAAAGGGAATGTGTCAAAAGCTCTATAAAATAAACAGCCCTGGGCCTCCCCGGTGGCACAGCGGTTGAGCGCTGGGCTGCAAAGCAGCCCACAGCCTCTGCAGCGCCGGTTCGATCCCCAGGCGCCAGCAAGGGTCCCACATGGCACGCAGCCCTCTCCTGTCTCACCTGCTGCTCCCCTTAGCAGTATGCTTCGTCAGTCTGCCTGCTCTGCTCTCCCCTCTGGCTCTGGTGAATTCTCTCACCCTCCCGCACTTCTGACTGTACCCAGTGCTTGTATAAATTTTAAAAAAAAAAAATCTTTAAAAAAAAATTTAGTTATAAAGTAAAAACTAATTTTTTGACCATGCTATTCCATGTTTGTTGTCTCACGACAGCTTTATTACTAGTAAGGTTTCTTTTGGGAAAAGATTAGAAAGCTTTCCCTATGGGAAGATATTTGCAAAAGAAATTTTCCAATTAGCTTACAAATGTGAATATTACAATGAATGAGAATGGATTCCTGAATGAGTTCAAATTCTGTCTCTTCTTTTTAGTTTATCTAATGCCTTAACTTCCCTATGAGTAACATGGAGATAATAATAGCATCTACTTAAGAGAAAAAATTAGGGGGGCCTCCCCTGGTGGCACAGTGGTTGAACACTGGGCTGCGAAGCTGCCGGTTCGATCCCCGGCCGCTGGGCAAGGATCCCACAGGGCGCGCAGACCTCTCCTGCCATGCCCGCTGCTCCCCTCAGCAGTGTATTTCATCAGTCTGCCTGTTCTGTTCCCTGCTCTGGCTCTGGTAAATTCTCTCACCCTCCCACGCTTCTTATTGTACCCAGTGCTTGTACGAATAAATAAATAAATTTAAAAAAATTAAATTAAAATTTAAAAAAAAGAGAAAAAATTAGGGGCCTCCCTAGTGGCACAGGGGTTAAGGATAGCACTATCAAGCTATCATCAGCCACTCTGTAGGACAAGTTCAATCCCCAGCCAAGGAGGTGACCCTCATGGTGCAGCAGACCTCGGCTATCTCACCTGCAGCTCCCCTCAGCAGTGTATTTCAGACAATCCACCTGTTCTGTTCTCCACTCTTGTCTCTGGTGAATACTCTCACCCCCTGCACCTCTGGCCTATACCTCAGTTCTTATATGCATAAATAAATCTTTAAAAAAAAAAGAGAGGGCCTCACTGGTATAAAGCTGTCTGCAGCCTCTGCAGCAGGTCTGCAGCCTCTGCAGCACGAGTTCGATCCCCCCAGCCAGTCAAGGAGCAACCCACATGGCATAGCAGACCTCTCCTGACTAGCCCGCTGCTCCCCTCAGCAGTGTACTTTGGTCAATCGGCCTGTTGTGTTCCCCACTCTGTCTCTGGTGAATCGTCTCACCCACCCACCCGCCCCCACACCTCTGGCCTGTACCCCAGCTCTTGTATGTATAAATAAATAAATCTTTACAAAAAAAAAAAAAAGAGGGCCTCCCCTGGTGGTGCAGTGCTTGAGCACTGGGCTGTGAAGCTGCCTTCAGCCTCTGCAGCACCGGTTCAATCCCCGGCCACAGGCGAGGGTCCTACATGGCACGCAGACCTCTCCTGCCGCCCGCTGCTCCCCTCAGCAGTGTACTTCGTCATCCTGCCTGTTCTGTTCCCCGCTCTGGCTCTGGTGAATTCTCTCACGCCCCTCACACTTCTGAATGTACCCAGTGCTTGTATACATAAATAAATCTTTAAGGAAAAAAAGAGAGAGAGAGAGAAAATTAAGTAAAACATTAATGCCCAGGGGCCTCCCTGGCGGCACAGGTGGTTGAGCGCTGCACTGTGAAGCTGTCCGCAACCTCTGCAGCATGGGTTCGATTCTGGCCGGCCGGTGAGAGTCCCACATGGCGAGGTAAACCTTTCCTGCCTCGCCCGCTGCTCCCCAGTGGTGTATTTCTTTAGTCTGTCTGTTCTGTTCCTGCTTTGTCTCCAGTGAATCCTCTCACCCTCCTGCGCACCTGGCCTGTACCCCAGTTCTTGTACAAAAATAAATAAATCTTTAAAAACAACAACAATAACAAAAAAAAAAACAAACATTAATGCCCAGGAGAGAATAAACAAACAATACATTTTAGTCATTATTGCTGTCACTTGTTCTTCCTTAAAAGGAGCTTTTAGGCCTCCCTGGTGGCGCAAGGGGTTAAGCACCATACTATGAAGCAATCCTCAGCCTCTGCAGCACTAGTTCAATCTCCAGCCAGGCAGGGAGCAACCCACATGGCGAAGCAGACCTCTCCTGTCTCACCCACTGCTCCCCTCAGCAGTATGTTTCAGTCAGTCTGCCTGTCCTGTTCCCTACTCTGTGGTGAATCCTCTCACCCCCCTCATCTCTGGCCTATACCCCAGCTCTTGTATGCATCAATAAATAAATCTTTTTTTTTAAAAAAGGGAGCTTTTATTGAATTTCCCTAGAAAAACTAACTTTATTATCAGTCCAGTTCAATGACAGTGTAAAATATGAGTATATCCAGAGTCCAAGCAGTGAATAAAGTAAAACATCATCTACCAGAAATATTGCCAGTGTCCTTATACAAAACTTAAAAAGAAAAAAATATATTAAGGTCTTCCAAATTCAAAAACCATTCCCATTACCACCAACCAAAAAAAAGGACTTGCAAATTCCACACTGGCTAAAAGCGGGGTAGGAAGACATTGAGCAATTTCGAACAAAGGAAAAACACTGGGCAGGAATTAGAAGATAAAGTTTTTCCTAGAAAGCAGAATACACGGTCACTGGGAAAGGAGTCTATTCTAGTGTCAGATTCTAATCTACTTTCAATATGCAAGAGCTAGGGGAACCTGGGTTTGTGAAGTAAAATTACACTAAAAATTCAGCCCTGCAAATCGAGCTAGCCATATTTCAAGTACTCAATAGCTACATGTGGCTACCAAATTAGTGCAGATATAGAACATTTTCATCACCACAGGAAACTATTGACAGTAATGTCCTAGACATCTCTTTTCCTCATTAAGTCTCCAACACTTCCTCTCCCATCCTTAACTCTTAACATACAATCTTGGTTTCTTTTCACTTCTGAGAAAACAGAAGTGAACAGATCATTTCCACAGCTTCCCTTATGACTTCTACCTACCGAAACCATCGGTACCCATTCTGCTTTCCTCCCTGTAACAACAGATAAGTATGTTTCTATTTAACACCCCACTGATGCACTTGATCACATCCATTCTATTCAGCTCAGTAAAGTCACTCCACAAATCTCTTCCTTTCTCCTCTGGATCAGTTTTCCTATTCTACAAAGTAATTGCCAGGAGCGCACCGCGAATCATTTCTCCTACCTTTAAAAAAAAAAAAAAAAGCCGTCTTTAGATCTTCATCCATTATCCCATTCATCTGCTCTCCCTTATGGAATCCACTAGAATTGTTTGTACACTTCTCCAGTTCCTCTCTTCCCATTCTTTATTGAATCCACTCTTCAGTCAGGAATCTACACCCACCCACATCATCATCACCTCCCTCTGGATCACTGTCTTTTGGAGGAACCACCCTATTGGCTTTTCACTCACACTGTTGCCTCTGCCTGGAAATCACATCCGCCCACACCCTCATAAAGCTACATGGCTTGGTCCCTAGCCTTTTTTTTTTACCACATTTCTACCGTCTGACTCTGCAAAGTCTTTTTTTGACTACCGGACTCAAAACTGCAACCCTACCCCATTCCACACTTTCGAGTCACCGCTTCCTGCTGTATTTTTCTCTATAGCACTCAATGCGCCCTTACCATGTATTTCAGATTCTAGCCCACACGCAAGTGTGACGCCATGAAAGTGACATTTTTGTGTGTTTCATGGCGCGTAATCATTTTTTGTTGAAAAGTGGAATCAATCCTCTCCAAATCGGTTTTAGAAATTTCGCTAAAACAACACAGTTGACATTCACCAGTGTGTAAAGTTAAAGACATCAACCAGTTCCTGACTCATCAGCTAGGACTGAAAGGCACATCCTCACAACAGACAAGCCTTAAGCATAGGGGCAAGACCTCCCCTTTCTCTAGCAAAGGATTTCTTCCCATTCAGGACAGGAATTACCAGATGGAGAACGCCTAGATTCTAGCAAAAGCAAACAGATCAGCCAGATCCCATAGCCACGCCAAGCGGATTCTCTTCCCGCCAAAACTCACCGCCATGGCGCCGCCCAGCCAACACCGCGAACCCACTACAGTGACCTCGGCGACCCCCCTACTAGGAGTGGCTGCAACCTTTCCCCTCCCTCTCCGGGAAATCAGGCCTCCAACAACGCTAAAGCACACGCTTCACAGCTGATGAGGCAATTTCCGGCTCTCTAGTAATTGCATCCGGGTGCATCGCTTAGCCAGCAGGGAAATGTAGTTCTTGACCCACTAAAGTCCACGTCCATCAGGCATGTATGACTATAATTCCCAGAAAGCAACGGGACACCGGAAGTCTACTCCAGGGGCCGCTCGGCGTGACACCGGTAGTGATGTCATGGGCGTCTAAACTACAGAATCCGCGGTGCAGCTCGGGATTTCGGGCTGTCGCCGGCCGCGGGCTCAGGTGTCTTTTCCCCGCCTTCAGCCATTTCGCGCTGTGGTGCTGGGATGGGTGTCTGCCAGGAAGCAAGGTTTATTGGTCTCCAGAGGTGCTAGCTAGCTTTCAGCGGCCCAGAATTTAGATTTTCTATGCCACTTATTTAAAATCACTATTTTCCAGCGAGGGACTGGAAATCTACCTGGCGCCAGTGCCAGGCTGTTTCGACTATGCGGCCATCCGAGATGGAACAGCTGCCACAAGCCACGAGTGGCTATTCTAATTTAAATTCATGAAAATTAAGGGGGGGGGAGTAGGGAGGGGCGGGGAGAGGAAGGATTAGGGTCAAAATAAGGGGGCTGCAATTGTATGGGGAATAGAACCAAAATGAAAATGCATACAATGTACAAAAATGAAAAATGAGGCCTCCCCTGGTGGCGCAGTGGTTGAGCGCTGGGGTGCGAGGCTGCCCGCAGCCTCTGCAGCGCCAGTTCGTTCCCCCGCCGCCGGGGTAGGGTCCCACAAAAAAAAAAGGAAAAATGATGTAAAAATTCATGAAAATTAAGATGTAAACTTCAGTTCTTCCCTAATATAGCCACTTAAAGTACCCCCACAACCCAGTGATTACCGTTTTGCCCGACAGTGCAGATACAGAACATTTTTATCGAAGATCTGTTGAAAAGCGCTGGTCTAAAGCTTTTCCTTTTTGATGGCCAGGTTCATTACTCACATATGTTCATTTATTAATTCAGTAAGCATTCATTAAGCCTCTACAAAGCACTTTGGGGGTTGGGGAAGAGATCAGCCCAGAAGCATGTTTCCCTAAAGGACTAAGAGGGAAAATTTAAAAACAAAATTTTGATAAATACAAACGTTAAATTATGTATGTTTACATATATTCGTTTTTCAACAAGTAGTTTTGAACTATAAATTGATTGATGAACTAGTATAGTTCTTGACACTGGTTGACGCTGAGCACAACAGACACATGGTATGGCTCAATAAAAAATTGTTGGATAAAAGGGAGGAGGTTAAGGAACCTTACTCTATGTGTAGAGACTCTATCAGTGGCTCTCCTGCCTCTGATCTCATAAGCATAGGAATACTCTCCAACACTTTCCATACCCTCTTCCCTACACATCCTACATCCTACCCCAAGGAATGTCCCCTCCTAGACCATCCTTTAAGTACCCTCTCTCTGCCCTCCTAGGGGAAATCTGTCGCAGTGATTCAAATTGCCTGTTTGTCACTAGACTTAAGCTCCATGACACAGTGTCTAGCACAGAGGGGTTGCCTTGTACATATGTACTGAATGAATGAAAGAATACTCATCCTCCACAGCTCTTATATCTATGGTTATATTATTCCAACTCTGCCCTAACCAGTACTATTTGTCATCGTTGCTGCATCAGTTTCCAATCCACATTGGTAATTGAAATTAGTCAAACAAAAAGTATTTATTGAGCACCTCCTATGAACCTATCATAGAGCATGGTATAGTAGTGGACAAGACGCACATGGTCCCTGCCCTTGTGGAGCTTATTGTCCATGAGGCCATAAGGGCATGAGACATTTAAGAAGAAAATAAATAATTAGGTGATTACGATTTATGAAAAAACCTACCTCTACCTCTGACTTCATTCTTTATTTTTTTTTAAGATTTTATTCACTTATTTTTGTGTAGAAGAACTGGGGTGTAGGCCAGAGGTGTATGAGGGTGAGAGGATTCACCAGAGACAGAGTGGGGAGCAGAGCAGGTGGACTTATTATTAAAATAAACTGCTAAGGGGAGCAGTGGGCGAGACAGGAAAGATCTGCTATGCCATGTGGGTTTGCTCCCTGGCTGAGGATCAAACTCAGGCCTTTGTAGTGGGCTGTGGCGGTGATAATAACTCCAGGCCACCAGGGAGGTCCCTTGACTTGATCCTTTTTTAAGTTACTAATATATTTGTTAAAGGGTCATTTCAATTCCATTCATTCAACACATTTATTTTACTTCTACTATGTACCAGGCACTATCGTAGATGCTGGAGATGCAACATTTGAACAAGATAGGCTCAGTCATCTCCAAAGAGCTTACAGTCTGGCAGAATGGCAGAAGAGGCAGACGTTGAAGCAGTGATAACTATGAGTAGCCACAGAAGGGTTTTAAACAAGAAAGAGACATGTTTATATTTGTGTTTTATGGGGTTCTGAAAAAGGATTGAAAGGTAGCAAAAGTGGAAGCAGGAAGCGATTGCAATTGTTCAGGGGAAAGATGACCTGACAAACTGTGGCAGTTGAAATGGAGAAAGGTGAGCAGATTCAAGAGATTTTTTTTTTAATGAAATTTATTACCACTTAGTAATGTAACTTTTTAATTGGGCAATGTCTATTCTCTGCTAAGCTGTGTAGAATACCCTCTTTAGTTAAATGAAATTAGAACAGGAGTATAGGGACCTCCCTGGTAGCACAAAGGGTTAACCACAGCATGTGAAGCTATCCACAGCCTCTGCAGAAAGAGTTCCACCCCCCCACCCTCCCACTCCCCCCCACCCTCCCACTCCCCCCCACCCACTCCCACCCCCCCTACCCACCCCAGCCCAGGGAGGTTACCCACTTCTGTCTTTCCTGCAGCTCCCCTCAGAAGTGTATTTCAGTCGATCTGCCTGTTCCATTCCCCACTCTATCTGTGGTGAATCCTCTCACCCCGCACACCACTGGCCTGTACCCCTAGTCCTTGTATGCCTAAATAAATAAATCTTTAAAAAAAGAAATTCTAAAAAGAAAGGGAGCATAGAGGATCAGAGCTCAGGCTCTGAATCAGACAGAGTTCACCACTTACTAGCCAGGTGACCTTGGGCAATTCAATTAAACACTCTGTAAAACAAGGATAATAACAGTAAGTACCTTATAGGATTGCCATGAGGATTAAACAAATGATATGTATACAAACCATATATATATTTGCCTGGCATATAGTAAGCACTTCAAAATGTTAGCTATTTTTATTGTGATCTTAGGAAAACTGGCTTATAAAACATGCATGATTAAAATTACAAAGACTTATCTGTGCCCCATAATAATCTCTCCCCAGCTTAACTGAGCAAGTTATCACCAGAAAAATGTGGTTTATTGTTTTTAGTTGTTGTTAAACCCTATCACCCTTGTTCTTCAGAACTCCACATCAGAAATCATTTCTTTCTTGTTTTGTTTGTTTTTTTTTTCAAACCCATCCCACAGTCACTCTACTCAATTTAAGTGAGTCAGCATTTCTAAATTTAGATCCCATAAAGCTACAATTAGCTTTGGCTTGTTGCTTGAGTCCCTTTGTATTTTTTTAAATACATATTTACCTACTTTTGGATGACACAGTCCACAGGGGAAGGAACAGTGAGCACATCTTTTGATATTTCTATTCCACAGGCATGTGCCACTCAATGAATATGGTAATATGGTTTTCATTTCCCTACCCTATTAGATGCCACACCTTTTTAAAATTTATTTATTTATTTATTTATTTTTAAAGATTTATTTATCTATGCATGCAAGAACTAGGGTACAGGCCAGAGGTGCAGGGGATGAGAGGATTCACCAGAGACAGAGTGGGGAACAGAAAAGGCAAATTGACAAATGCACTGCTGAGGGGAGCAGCGGGTGAAACAGGAGAGGTGTGCTGCACCATTAGGGGTACCTTCCTGCCTGGGGATCGAACACGTGCTGCAGAGGCTTTGGATAACTTCATAGTGCTGATGCTTAACTCCTTGTGCCTCCAGGGAGGTCCCTTTTGTTTTTTAATGTTTTTTTCCTCCATTTGTGTTCTAACTTTACTTTTATACTTCTGGAATGGTGGTGAACGATTCAAGTATAAAGAGAAAAAGGGGGCCTCCCAGGTGGCGCAGCGGTTGAGTGCTGGGTTGCGAAGCTGCCCGCTGCCCGCGGCCTCTGCGGCGTGGGTTCGATCCCCAGCTGCTCCCCGGCCACCAGAGGAGGATCCCATATGGCGCGCAGACCTCTCCTGCCGCCCGCTGCTCCCCTCAGCAGTGTATTTCGGTCCTTCTGCCTATTCTGCTCCCTGCTCTGGCTCTGGTGAATTCTCTCACCCTCCCGGCTTCTGACTGTACCCAGTGCATGTATAAACCAAACAAACAAACAAACAAACAAATAGATAAATAAATAAGACATGCCTCTAGAAAATTAAAAAAAAAATAATAAAAAAATAAAGAGAAAAAGGAAGAATCCTCCCAGGATAGAGGCTTAGCTGGTCCCAGAATACAGCAGAATACAGTGAGTGTGTGCAGGAGTTGTGATCACAGGAGTGAAGTATGATACTTGAGCCTGAAGTGAGGCTCTGTCCACGCTTGTTCTCTGTTCCTTCAACTTCAGGGGTCTTCATATACAAAATGTGGATGATGTAAAACCTGCCTTCTAGACTAGCTGTGAGAAAAAATGAGCCACAACAAACAAGGGGGTTGGCACATGCCTCTCATGGTAAGTGCTCAAGAAAGAAAGAAGGGGGACTCCCTGGTGGTGCAAGGGGTTAAGCACAGCACTGTGAAGCTATCCACAGCCTCTGCAGCATGATTTCGATCCCTGGCCAGGGAGCTACCCTCATGGCACAGCAGACCCCTTCTGTCTCACCCACTGCTCCCCTCAGCAGTGTATTTCAGTTAGTCTGCCTGTTCTGTTCTCCACTCTATCTCTGGTGAATCCTCTCACCCCCTGCACCTCTGGTCTGTACTCCAGTTCTTGTGTGCATAAATAAATAAATCTTTGGGGAAAAAAAAGAGTTAGGGCCTTTGGG